CTGAGTGGAAGCAGAGTGTTGTAATGTATCCAGAACAAGCAGATCAGGAGGTGTTTGAGAGAAGGTGTTAGAGAGTGGGTGAGGTGTTTTGGCAGGAGAAGGGGTGTTTTAGAAAAGAGGATGTCTTTGAGAGGAGGTGTGGTATTTGAGACGGCACTGGCGGCGTTGAAAGGAAAAAAGGTGTGCCTGAGAGTGTATGAGGTCATTGAGAGTGGAGGAGGTGTTTGAGAGAGGGTGAGGTGTTTGATAAAGTATTCAATCCATCATTAACGACTGTTTTCACAATAAGACGGTGGTAAATAAACGCACCAGGCGGGTAATGTTGCTACCAATGCTTTGAAAAGAGGAAACCATTGAGACCATCCTCCGACTTGGACATAAACAATTGATCATGTTCGGCACTTTCGTTACATCGTATGCGACTGTGGCAGAGCATAAAAAAGCAGGGGTAAGATTAATAATTTAACAAGGAGATGTCATGATCCCAGACAGTCTCTTGCGGTATTGCCTGCATCGGATTTCTTAATGGTTACAGTGAGGGAAAAAACGTATTTGATCCCCTGCTGATTTTGTACGTTTGCCCACTGACAAAGAAATGATCAGTCTATACTTTTAATGGTAGGTTTATTTGAACAGTGAGAGACAGAATAACAACAACAAAATCCAGAAAAACGCATGTCAAAAATGTTATAAATTGATTTGCATTTTAATGAGGGAAATAAGTATTTGACCCCCTCTCAATCAGAATGATTTCTGGCTCCCAGATCGCTTTTATACAGGTAACGAGCTGAGATTAGGAGCACACTCTTAAAGGGAGTGCTCCTAATCTCAGCTTGTTACCTGTATAAAAGGCACCTGTCCACAGAAGCAATTAATCAATCAGATTCCAAACTCTCCACCATGGCCAAGACCAAAGAGCTCTCCAAGGATGTCAGGGACAAGATTGTAGACCTACACAAGGCTGGAATGGGCTACAAGACCATGCCAAGCAGCTTGGTGAGAAGGTGACAATAGTTGGTGCGATTATTCGCAAATGGAAGAAACACAAAAGAGCTGTCAATCTCCCTCGGCCTGGGGCTCCATGCAAGATCTCACCTCGTGGAGTTGCAATGATCATGAGAACGGTGAGAAACTACACGGGAGGATTTTGTCAATGATCTCAAGACAGCTGGGACCAAAATCACCAAGAAAACAATTGGTAACACACTACGCCGTGAAGGACTGAAATCCTGCAGCGCCCGCAAGGTCCGCCTGCTCTGAAGTTTGCCAATGAACATCTGAATGATTCAGAGGACAACTGGGTGAAAGTGTTGTGTCAAATGAGACCAAAATGGGGCTCTTTGGCATCAACTCAACTCGCCGCGTTTGGAGGAGGAGGAATGCTGCCTATGACCCCAAGAACACCATCCCCACCGTCAAACATGGAGGTGGAAACATTATGCTTTGGGGGTATTTTTCTGCTAAGGGGACAGTACAACTTCACCGCATCAAAGGGACGATGGACGGGGCCATGTACCGTCAAATCTTGGGTGAGAACCTCCTTCCCTCAGCCAGGGCATTGAAAATGGGTCGTGGATAGGTATTCCAGCATGACAATGACCCAAAACACACGGCCAAGGCAACAAAGGAATGGCTCAAGAAGAAGCACATTAAGGTCCTGGAGTGGCCTAGCCAGTCTCCAGACCTTAATCCCATAGAAAATCTGTGGAGGGAGCTGAAGGTTCGAGTTGCCAAACGTCAGCCTCGAAACCTTAATGACTTGGAGAAGATCTGCAAAGAGGAGTGGGACAAAATCCCTCCTGAGATGTGTGCAAACCTGGTGGCCAACTACAAGAAACGTCTGACCTCTGTGATTGCCAACAAGGGTTATAGCACCAAGTACTAAATCATGTTTTGCAGAGAGGTTAAATACTTATTTCCCTCATTAAAATGCCAATCAATTTATAACATTTTTGACATGCGTTTTTCTGGATTTTTTTGTTGTTATTCTGTCTCTCACTGTTCAAATAAACCTACCATTAAAATTATAGACTGATCATTTCTTTGTCAGTGGGCAAACGTATAAAATCAGCAGGGGATCAAATACTTTTTTCCCTCACTGTACATCGATTATAAAAAGACTACTCACTGTACATGTAGCACAGTAGTCATTGTGCCCTTTTCGAAAAAAGAAGGCCTGAGTTAAATCCTAGTTAAACTCTAAACTATTTTATTTATTTTACTAGGTAAGGCCCACTGGGCTACATAGCTCTTTTCCAGAAGCGACCTTGCCACAAAATATAGCTCAACAAAGTGGCTTATCACGTGGAAATTTGTAGCAGCCAAATACTCTAAACGCGCGTTTATAAATGTGGAGGGAAAAACGGGAGGACCTGGAGAAAAATACATGCGACCACGGGGAGAACATGCAGACTCCACATATACATGGGGCAGGGTTTGGATCGAACCCATGCCCTCCTGTATACCAGGCGAGGCAGTTAACATCTCGCCACTACGGCGCCCATCCAGGGTCGATCAAATTAGTACCTTTTTTTTTTTAAAGACGTGCAGCTCAAAGTGGTGACGAGTTAAATCACAGTCTTAATGAGAAGTGTTTTGTTAATGATTTTTCCACACAGCAAGCATCTACCATTTGCCGAACTTGAACTAATGCTTCACAAGTAGCGTTGGGGGGTCCTTAATTCCCCACTTTACTTAATAATGGGGGGATTTAAATTATAGTAATTGTGGCACTTTTCTGAATGGTGCTTCAGATAGCATGCGGTACAGTAATGACAATTCACAGCCCTTTGTCAAGCCTCTGCTGGAAGATGGACTCCCCACGCCATGTTTGTCGTGGTGGCTTTTTAACCGTACGTCACCGTCCAAAGTAAACATGGAACGTTGGGCTAACGTTGGTCCATCAGTTCCAACCACATGCCCAACGTTGCCTCAACGTTGGGCATGTTTACTGGGATGCTGGTCAGTGTGGCCTGGTAAAGCTCGGATTCAGGACCCGTTCAGATATATCACTCAACTCTGAAATTAGCCGTGGTTTGACAAATGGCTGTCGATATTGCATTCTTGTTAATTCAATTCATAGTGCAAGGCCAGCTGCTTGTCTTGCGCAGAGTGGATCCTGGGTCATTTCCACGTTTGACACAAAAGTTCGTGGTATTTTTTTATCGTAGCTGACATCAGGTGTGCAACTTTGCATCGTCAGTGTTTGTCGTCGACCAAATCGCGCCCGAAATACTTTCCAGATCTCATAAGCCGAGTGAGGTTTATTCTGGGGAGCCCTGTGCTTGGGATGAGTGGCCACCGGGGGCTTGCCACGTGTCGTAGCCGTAGTAGGGCTGCAGATGGCCCAGGGGAGATGGCGGTAATTCGCGTCCCCCTTTTGTATGTGTGGGTCCTTCCGAATCCAAACGCTTCATTCGTGCAATTGCCCAAACATTCCAATTGCAGCAGGACCATCCTGAAAAAGTCTTGAGACTCAGGATTTATTGGAGTAAATTATTGACGCTATGAATGCACTCCGTAAAAAATGTATGTGGTCTCAAATGCTTAAATCAGCACGAGGAAACTCTCATCTTGTTTACAGCCCTGAGCCAAGTGATGGAAATTCCACACTCCAAAGACAAGGACGAGGTTATCTGCAGGACGTCCACGATTGACTTCCTTTGGAATCTGCTGTGTGCTCTTGCAATAATGCTGTCCTACTCGTGGTAAATTTGTGGTTAGGTCCAGGCCCCTCATACGAATGTCGGATGCCATCTAGAGGTCATACTGTGCTACAACATCATCTCTGTAAAACAATATTGTCGGTTGAACATGTGCGGTGATACATAGTATATGATTGACCAATGTGTTGAATGTTGCTGGTTTGTTCGGTCAGTAACCAAAACTGCAAGAGAATTGTGCTTTATAGATTAACATCCCTGCTGCTGCATTTATACTCCAATTCGCTTGTATTTCCAATCTTTTTTGTGTTATTCTCCAATTTCTGTTTACCAAATTTCTAATACACAGATATCAAGTATTTTCAATCATTCTATCCATAAAGGGAGACAGTGATTTGAAAAATTGCAGACAAATTTGCCTTCGTATCCTTATCAATCATTATTGGGCGAATTCGTGTTTTATAAACGCAGCGTGCGTTCCTGTTGGTTGGCCTCTGAATTGCCCATTACAGTATTCGGTTCTCCATTATCTTTTGATATACATTTCATAAACATGGAGTGGCGTGTGCTTGGAATTGCAATGAGGGACAGATGAACACAGGAACCGGAGACCATACGCAAGTTATAGACCACGTATTGACTGGTAAGATATCGCAGGACACGTCGCTTGCAGATATGATGGCCAAGACTAATAACGGAGTGGCAGGCAAAGGGATACTCCCCGACAGTTGATCCACTACGAAGACGGAGTCATGACATCAGCTCGTGTTCGGTCGCTTACAGAGATCGTTGCATTAAAGACCATTTAGAGATGGCAATGGCTAGGTGAGGCCGATACACAATAAGCGGATTTTTTATAGCTGACGATGAAAGGTGTTGTAGCTTTGAGGCCGACAATTTAAAAAAATCCACTCGCTTTTTTTGACAATTGTATTCCAGGTTGTTGATAAAGACGGCGCAATTATCACATTGACGAACACTGAAGTCCACTTTATAAAATTTAATTGTGTGTAGTCCACCTCCGCTTGTGTTCACAAGATGAATGTTTGTTTCTTTAAAGTAATTGTTTTTAATATAATTGTACATTTTGATCGATTCCCAGCTATAATTTGTTGATTAATACAAAAATATTTAATAGAATTGCAATATCCCGGGAAGTATATTGTAAACGCAACAGCGGCATTCGGCTCCAAACCATGGCAATGCACACTGCAAGCATTATTAAAGACTGCGCTCTTGCTGTTGACACGGAGTATCAGCTATGATAACGTGCTGCAGGGTGTGTGTGTGTAGATACAGTACTGTATATATTCCACACAAATTGCACACGAGGCATGATTTCACCTTTGATAATTTTATTGCATTTGAAGAAAGGAGCCGCTGTCACTAATTTCAGTGTTGGCACGGGTAATGTATAACAAGCAAGGCCCTCAAAAAAAGAGTTTTTGTTCAGTTGTGAGGCTGTAAATTACTACGCAGTATTGTAATCCGACGATAAATACTTGGTAAGTAACCATTCCGCGTCCTCTCCCCACCCCATTGCGTTATTCGGTGAATTGCAACAATTTGGTCTCAAATCGAATGTGTTGGCATGATGGTGAACGGTAGTGGCCTCTAATGACTGCAGGGTCATCACGTGAACACGTTTACCTACAGTATGGATGAACAATTGAACGTACGTGCGATTACATATAATAATAATAAAAAAATCGCAATACACGCAGAATAAAAAAACGCGTACTCATTCGTGGATTAAACAAACCACTGGTTACTTTTTCAGAAAACAATCGACGAAACCTGAGTAAAAAACAACCGATCGTGAACATAAGTGCTGTGCCACGCTGTGGTGGTGCGGTGGATGACGGTAGAGAAGTAGCGAATGCTACGCCACTACATTCGTACAAATAATTCCATCGACGATTTTAGTTTCTACTCACGACAAACTGATTTTTTTCTCACTGTACCCCTTTACAAACCTTGACACAATACACTTTTACAAAGTATTCCAGTTTCATTACTTCATCGAAGAATGTTACATTTGCTCATTCAAATTCATCTCTGTTTAATACAAACTATAGAATTACATTGTTTTGTAGATTTCTATCTACAGGCACTTTCATAGAAAACTATTCACCGGACATATATTCGTGTAAATCCAATTACAACAGTGGCAAACGGTGGTACTATTGCAGTAATATTTTAGGCGAGTGAATGAATCTGCCTGCTATTTTAACTTAACCTAAACCATAAAATAAAACATTAGGTTACGTCATCCGATGCATTAATGTGTCATGAAATTATTAACCACATGCTTAACCTCCATTTTTATAATACTGCAAATCAAATCACGCTTCAGCAAATTACAAACTGTAGCCAAACACAAAGTATTTATGTCCGGCCTCTTCTATAACGCCACGTGTTCAAATAACGCGAATTTGATATAACGCAAATTTGATATAACGCGATCAGAACGTCGCCTCGGCGTAGCGTCACAAGGCAGGATGCTACCCACGTGCCTCCGTCTTTTTCAGTCTGCATACCTCACGTGTTTTTGCCTACCGTGCTTTACAATATAATATAACGCGGTGTTCTTCGGACTGTATGTTGAACTTCTTTCGCACCGTACGTAGTCAAGCGTGCTAATCGGAGGTGCGAATGTATGATTAACACCCATTGATTTCATTCAATAACGCACTGAGCACAACCAGCACACCATATAATTGTATCTTTCTCTTGCGACTGCATAGGTTTTTGCAGGTATGCTGTACAGTTTTCCCCCCGTTATTCACGAACTTACTATCCGTGATTTTGGCTATCCGTGAATCTTATCTGGAACTCTACACGACTACACCGAGAAAGTGATGAGATAAAGTGATGAGATAATTTTCATCTATTTATTTAAGGTATAATTATCCGCGAAATTTGCTATTCACGAGCATCTCCGGAACGTATCCCTCGCGGATAACGAGGGAATACTGTATTGTAGCTCTCCACTGTGTGTGTGGGTTGTTCCGCATCATCTTTGTTGGGCGCGATGCCCGACATCGAATTGATTTCAGTTCCTGCACTATTCAGCCCCTGACAAAGCTCCCACCCAGCACGTGCGGCGAAACATCAGACATCACGCCGTAGAACGCGCAGTAACAACCCGAAAACACAACGTGGGGGAGGTTGCAACCTTTCCCATCTTCTACCAAACCCGAATTTGTTGAAATGAAATTTTAATTCGCACAGCCTTGATGCACCAGGGTGGCGACGAGAGTGAGTGAGAGCGTCACCGCGATGTTTGGGCGATCACGACCGGCGTTGCCCATTTGGCTGGCGTAATAACGAGCCACCTCCACGTTCGGGTTTTTATCGGTGAACCACATCTGGATACAGCGATCACTCCCACGATCGTCCTCCGTGTACTTATAGGAGCTGCTCCAGATGCGCTCGCACAGGTCCTTTGGTGTGGGGAAGATCACGCCGAACATCTGGCACTGGGAATCAGGTGGGCAAAGGTTGGTACCTGCCAGGGGGGAATGACAATAATTGAAAGGTAAGATATTGGAAGGCAATGATACAATTGTGTCATTTAATAATGATTGCAGAGCACAGCATGGGAAATATATTGATATACGATGGCCATAAGATTGTTTTTAATTGTCACTTTTCCAAATTTACTCAAATTGTATTCTCGGCCTCGTGTCATGTTATGATGAGTTCATTTTGAATTTTAGAGAGCCACGCACCCATGTGACAGAGCACGGCCAACGGAATAGATTTTTCACAGCATTTGTTCCATCAACTCCACTAAGTGTGTGTTTTTGTCCACGCACTCTGCAATATGACTGTGTATTACATGACAGTAAAACTGACATTTGAACGTATTGGCGGTACACCGATGGACAGTATAAAAACACATGTTACTCAATAATTATTTATTTTCCCGTGATTCGCAACCCCTGACAGAAAATATTGCAGGGTGATGCGTCAAAATCAGTTCTCATGATGTCGAAGAAGTCGGAAGGCGAATGCCAGTTTAAATGTTTTATTATAAATTGTTTTAGAAGGACCATTGTGTTGTGCTCCACTAGTGTACCGCCAAAACGTCAACATTTTTTTTTTCAAAGCTGGACTTTACCAAACTGAGTAACACACCAAATTTAATAAAGTTTATTTTTCGTGAAATCACAGGGCTGAAATCATCAACTCGCTACACATGAGAAGCTGATTTTGATCAAGGCGGAAGTGCCAATTCAAACCCAGGATTCCCAGTGGTGCGAACACGACGTGTTACAGAGGGCGGGGAGCAATCACTCACCGGCCCGGGGAATCGAATTCCAATCGGTCCGGTGCAGTGCGTTAACCACCGAGCATCACCTCACCAAAATGAAGTCAATGTTCGACCACGCTTAGGTTTGTCTGTGATTATATTGTGCAATGGTGGATATTACTAAGTGGCATTGAGAGTTCGTGGTGTTTTACGAGTAGCTTACCATTTATCCATTCCCAACCGCTGTGCCAGTTTTCCTTGCAGGTGTAGTCATTTCGACAGTCATTCCACCAACTCTGGCAGTCACTTTTGCAGAGTGGAACATTTAAGATTCTCTCCTTTCTCCAGCTGCTGTCAGTCTGTTGCCCATAAGGCCAAAGATACAAATAAAACAAACAATTAGTTTAATTATGGAGTCATGTGTTCCCATATTCTTTTAACAAATACGTATTTTTCCACAATGTTATCCCGACTGCAGTTTGAGAGTTGAATCATGAGAGACAGAATCTCTCGCAATGCAGTGCCACCTTCCGTGTTTAAAGAAAGTCTCATGAAGCGGATAATGTATAACTAACGTTGAGATCCCGTCAAGTGATCTCTATTCTGCACAGTAAGGGGCATCAGTTTCCCTTGCCACCCAGCCAGAGTCATGTTTGTCACGAGTTAACCCAATATTTTTAATTGTCAGTGTTAAAATGTATCTAGATTTATTGCAGAACTAAATGTTATGTTTATTTATATTGCAGTCATTGGTAACCAGGCTGAGGCAATCAACACACAACACTTAAGAACCCATATTCTTGGTTCTTTCGGTAAATTCACGTAGAAGGGAAATAATAAAATACAAATAAAACAATTACATTATCACGTTTCCATTGCAACACAAGCAATCATCATCAGGTGTGAAAACCACAGCAAGAACATTTTCTTGTGAAAACCACAGCAAGAACATTTTCTTGCTGTGGTTTTCACACCTGATGATGATTGCTTGTGTTGCAATCGAAACGCCGTGAGAATTTTAGTGTTTAATTTGTATTATTTTATTATTTCCCTTCTACGTGACTTTACCGAAAGAACCAAGAATACGAATCCCTGCAGTCACGAAAGCTTTAAATCGAAACTTAAGAACCCAGTTTACTCACAATTTCACGCATTCGAGCGGTGATAACAAAATGATATCAATGACCACGAACCACATGTTTTTCATAATTGTGTTAACAGCTGACTTTGTGGATTCCGCCACCAGCATCTAATACATGGTATTTGTAGTATAAATTAGAAACCAATGCATATGTGAAACCAAGAGCTGTTCCATGACCATAAAATGTATCTAGCACATTTAAAACAATGTGAGCACATCACACGTATTGTTCGTTCCCTGTGTTGGCGTCTAGTGAAATACAGGGATCGAATTTCAAGTTCTTGTATTGGCTTTCAATGCCCTGAAAGGGTTAGCGCCATAATATCTCGGTGATCCGCTGAAATCGTATGCCCCTGTCCGGCAACTTCGATCCACCAACTCCGGGCACCTGAGTGTACCACAGACAAATCTGTGTTCAATGGGTGATAGAGGGTTCCGTAGTCAGGCGCCTCGTTTGTGGAACGCCTTGCCCCAGACCGTTAGGGATGCTCCGTCAGTCGAGGTTTTTAGGGCTCGTCTAAAAACACATTTTCTCTTTTGTTATCCGTTTTGTTGAGGGTTATTTTCGCTCTTAATTTTAGTGTCAAGGGTTTTTACTGGGATTCTGTTGTAAAGCGCTGTGAAGCCTTGTGTGAATTACGCTATGTAAAACTAAGTTTAACTTACTATTTACTTAGTGTGGCTGTGTTACGGTGCGCCATTGTGTTACCCTAATGTATACTCGAAGCCAGTGAAAATTACAAATGTGGTAAAGTTTTGCTGACTATGCTTTGGAATTCCACAATCGCTTGTTCAATGTTGGACTATTGCTCGTTGCACGTGGTGCAAATTTGACTTCTCCTCGTGTCAGGTCTCCGACACTCATTTTTTTTTATAATTTAGGATGCAGATAGCGCATTTCAAGTTTAACCATCAATACGCTTCAAGGAAGCATGGCAGATGCAGCTATCTCCTACACAAAGGACATGTAAAAATGGCCCACAGTGGGACATTGGTCACCAATCTCCAACTGTGGAACACAGGAGAATCTCAGGTAATCATCCCGGCTACTCCTGAAGCACATCCACCACCTTAACAACCTTGACACAAACGTATATACATTGCTGATTAACTTTTCGCCAGAGGAAATAATAAGACGTTAGATCGGTGAAGTACCTTCTGGATCCAGGGTCCCAGATTTGGCGAGCACTCGTACAAACAGGTGTCCTGCACAAAGTGCTTCTTGCATTTATCCGACAGTTTAGGCTGGCCCAGAGACCAGCAGTGGTTCCAGTTGAAGTTGTACAGATACGATTGATCCTCATGAGCTTGTTCTGTAGTGTTGGCATTGCAACATGCGTTGTCCTTCCATGGTTCACACTTTGGGTTTCACATTGACACACACAAAGACAGAGATCATCCTTATGGCCTTAACCAACATTTGGAGCAAGTGCAGTTAGCGAGCACGTATGAAAGCCGGCACGGTACACGACGGGGTGGGTTACCAACACCACGCTCGACCACCTTTGTCTTCCCGGTGGCGATGTTTATACACCGCACCACGTACTCATTTGAGGCTGAGTCGACCTAAGACCGGTTCGGATAATCTTCACAGCTGTTTGTAGCCAAAAGCAGGAATCGAACTCGGGTCGCGGGGTTCGTAGCACTCCCAGCTAACTGATACACTACCGCTCCCCTATAAGTTAACACAAAAGATAACAAAGATCCCCTCTATAGCCTTAACAGACTGTTGGGGAAAGTGCTGTTAGCGAGCACCTATGAAGGCCGGCACGGCACACGAGGAGGTGGGTGGCCAGCACCGTGCCCGACCGCCTTTGTCTCCCCAGTGGCGATGTTTACACACCGCACCAGGTACTCACTTGAGGCTGAGTCGACCTAGGGGAGGCCCCCGACCAGTTCAGATAATCGTCATTGGTGTTGGCCGTGAGCGGGAATCGAACTCGGGTCGCCGGGTTAACACACACACATATACACACACACACACATATATACACACACCACACACATATATACACACACACCACACACACATATATATACACACACACACATATATACACACACACACACCACACACATATATACACACACACCACACACACATATATATACACACACACCACACACACATATATACACACACACACCACACACACATATAAACACACACCACACACACATACACCACACACACATATATACACACACCAGACACATATACATACACACATATATACATACACACACCACACACATACAGTGAGGTAAAAAAGTATTTAATCCCCTGTTGATTTTGTACATTTGCCCACTGACAAAGAAATGATCAGTCTATAATTTTAATGGTAGGTTTATTTGAACAGTGAGAGACAGAATAACAACAAAATCCAGAAAAACGCATGTCAAAAATGTTATAAATTGATTTGCATTTTGAGGGAAATAAGTATTTTATCCCTCTCAATCAGAAATATTTCTGGCTCCCAGGTGTCTTTTATACAGGTAACGAGCTGAGATTAGGAGCACACTCTTAAAGGGAGAGCTCCTAATCTCAGCTTGTTACCTGTATAAAAAGCACCTGTCCACAGAAGCAATCAATCAATCAGATTCCAAACTCTCCACCATGGCCAAGACCAAAGAGCTCTCCAAGGATGTCAGGGACAAGATTGTAGACCTACACAAGGCTGGAATGGGCTCCAAGACCATTGCCAAGCAGCTTGGTGAGAAGGTGACAACAGTTGATGCGATTATTCGCAAATGGAAGAAACACAATAGAACTGTAAATCTTCCTCGGCCTGGGGCTCCATGTAAGATCTCACCTCGTGGAGTTGCAATGATCATGAGAATGGTGAGGAATCAGCCCAGAACTACACGGGAGGATCTTGGCAATGATCTCAAGGCAGCTGGGACCATAGCCACCAAGAAAACAATTGGTACACACTATGCCGTGAAGGACTGAAATCCTGCAGCACCCACAAGGTCCCCCTGCTCAAGAAAGCACATATACATGCCCGTCTGAAGTTTGCCAATGAACATCTGAATGATTCAGAGGACAACTGGGTGAAAGTGTTGTGGTCAGATGAGACCAAAATGGAGGTCTTTGGCATCAACTCAACTCGCTGTGTTTGGAGGAAGAGGAATGCTGCCTATGACCCCAAGAACACCATCCCCACCGTCAAACATGGAGGTGGAAACATCATTCTTTGGGGGTGATTTTCTGCTAAGGGGACAGGACAACTTCACCGCATCAAAAGGATGATGGACGGGGCCATGCACCGTCAAATCTTGGGTGAGAACCTCCTTCCCTAAGCCAGGGCATTGAAAATGGGTCGTGGATGGGTATTCCAGCATGACAATGACCCAAAATACACGGTCAAGGCAACAAAGGAGTGGCTCAAGAAGAAGCACATTAAGGTCCTGGAGTGGCCTAGCCAGTCTCCAGACCTTAATCCCATAGAAAATCTGTGGAGGGAGCTGAAGGTTCGAGTTGCCAAACGTCAGCCTCGAAACCTTCATGACTCGGAGAAGATCTGCAAAGAGGAGTGGGATAAAATCCCTCCTGAGATGTGTGCAAACCTGGTGGCCAACTACAAGAAACGTCTGACCTCTGTGATTGCCAACAAGGGTTTTACCACCAAGTACTAAGTCATGTTTTGCAGAGGGGTCAAATACTTATTTCCCTCATTAAATGCAAATCAATTTATAACATTTTTGACATGCGTTTTTCTGGATTTTTTTTGTTATTATTCTGTCTCTCACTGTTCAAATAAACCTACCATTAAAATTATAAACTAATAATTTCTTTGTCAGTGGGCAAACGTACAAAATCAGCAGGGGATCAAATACTTTTTCCTCACTGTATCTCTATACCCCCTTGTCTTTCTGTCTCACTTCGATTAAAAAAATCTACATCTACTCCTGAACTCCACCTTCACCAACCAGCACTGACCAGTGTGGTGAAGTATGGCCAAAGTAACCCCCACGACTCGCACAGTGTGGGGAGGTCCTCATCCAGCAGCGGACTGACAAAAGGGTTGTACACGTACAATGTGCTAATGGATTATTGTTTAAATAAAAATCTAGTCTATTAGCATCGATCTATTCTGAGCATTAACTGCATATTTATCTCACTAATAGCAGTGTATTAACCAGGGTTAATAGTCATGCGAACTCTCTATCGCACTGAATTCCACACAGTCTTGGGAAAGTCGTGCAGAAACTCTTACCCTCTCTATGACCAACCTTTTAGACTCGTGACCTTTGAGCGACTTTTTAATGTTCAAGCAAACTCATCATGAGATACGTTTCGGATGAAGTGGGTCAATATTGCATGAAAGATTGAGAGCGGATAAATATTTGTACAATGTAGACAAATATATTTACGAGATATTATACAAGTGACCCCGACTAGGAACTGAGACACAGCTGTATCTGAGATAATCAAGAGTCTGAACAGAAGTATGTACTTGAGATGAAACTGCATAATTAACATTGATTTTGTGTTTGTGCAGTATTTTCAAATTCTCGCGTGGCGGTTGCTTTTTTGTTTGTTTAGATTTGTATTTGCTTCATTGCTGTACTTTTTTTATTGTTTTGCTTCATTATCTTGGTGACCCAGGTGATTTTTCAAATTATACTTTCCTGGTCTCTTGAGTTCTCATCTAGTTAAACAAAACTCGAAACTACACTGCAATTGTAACACATATTGCACTTTCAATGGCAAATGCATTTTGTAAACATATACCGCATTTTAGGCATTTAGCAATTCACTCCCTCCGTGCCTGTGATTTGAGCCGTCACTACCGCATTCTAGGTTGATTCAGTGACTTAGCATGATTCAGATTAACAACTCATTGAATTAACACACATACACACACAGAATACACGCACACAGAGGAAATTCAATTTCACAATGAATGTCACAATTCAGATTCACAATTCGAAACAAGAAATTGTATTTAAAAAATCACACCATCAGCCTAAATATAAATTCAGAACATGGATTTACGCAAGTAAATCCATGTTAATTCTCACACGCAAATTTGATGCACGTTCGTGGCCAGGTCGCTTCTGAAAAAGGAGCTAGTGTATATAACTCAGTGGGCCTTACCTGGTAATATAAAAAAAATAGTTAATAGTCTTTAATAGTAATACTTCACACAGGTCAGTGCCGGTTGGTGAAGGTTTACCAGGATAAATTGAGAGATCACTCGCCACTGATGTAAACCGTTAACAGTGGACACCCCTTCCCCCCTTCCAATTGCAAATCACAATTAATCGATTCTGACATGTGCGTGCTTTTCGATGCATGTAACGCGAGCGTGCGAATCGATTTCAATCAAAGATGCGCCATATCGTTACACTGCAGGGTAAAAGGAGACGCACGCGCATTAAGCTGCGAAAAAGCACGGAAGCATCACACGACGCGGCGACCAACAAAACTTACCTGTCCGTAAAGTAACCCCTCGGGCCCCGGCTTGGTCTTGTGGTGCTTGGCGTCCATGCAAATGTTCAGCAGCTCCGTGGCCATGGCATTCGATGCCCACATGGCCAGGAGAAACACCAACTTAGTCTGTGGCATGGCTGCTCCTGTCTCTCCCTGATGCCCCTCCACCAAGCAGCTGCAGACACTGGCTGAGGAATCTGTTGGCCCTGAAACAAACGCAGGTGGGCTTTTATAGGGTTTCCGATAAATACATCAAGAGCAAAGATCACACGATGGTAACCAGGTTACCCATAAACTGCTTGGAAGTGCTTTAATATATTTATATATTTCTTGTCTGTAGCAAGGCACTAAAGGTTTGAATATTCACAAAATGTTGAAATTTGAATTGCCTGTCATTTAACTGCCAAGCTCAACTGGATTGGTATAACTTTAAATGCAACTGTGAAGTGCTACGCATATATTAAAGTGACCCGCAATAATTTTTGGCGTTAAGAGTTTCAAATATTTTGGGGCTCATTTACTTTTTAAACCATCCCATGAAAAAAACCTTGCACCTGTGACTTTATTCAATGTGATTGTCAACAAGCTAATATAATTTTTGAAAAAGTTACTAATAAGTACTTATAGTGGAAGAAGTTACATTGTTGTTTTACTCATGAGGCACACCGTAGCAATAGAACTTTCAACTCTTCCGTCCCACTTTTCGGCCAATATCTTTTCATCTTCCTGCCTCATCTTTTACCCTTCATTTATTTTGTTAGGTTTTTGAAATGCTAGGCTGTCCCTTTACATAGATGAAATGTTTTTGATATATAACTTTTTTTTTGTATCGGGTCACCGTTGTAAAAGCTCATGTAGCCTCATTGAGAACTCACCTGGTAAAATAAAGGTGATTGTAATTAGCATTTGCTGGAATTCAGAGACCTTTGTTTAATTCAGAACCACGGCTAACATCAGTGGCCGATTATCTCCGAACCCTCCTCCACCAACCTACACTGACCAGTGCGCAGAAGTATGGACAAAGCAACTGCCATGCCTCATGTGGCTTGAGAAGGCTTTGCATGAAGGCTGTAAATTATTATTATGACTACCACATGATTAACTTGGATAGATTAAAGAACCGCTGACATAAACAACTTTTACAATCAAGGACAAAGACCCTAGCACATTCCAGAAAAGCTGTAGATGAACCATAGGAGGGTATTAAATAGGCTTAAACAATACCAATGTGATTAAAGATTAATAAGTCACGGGGTGGAGCAATGGTGCGGTGGTTAACGTGCTGCCCTATGAACTGCGTGACCCTAGTTCAATACCCAGCCACGGCCAACATCAGTGACTCGTAATATCAGAACCGATCTTTGTCCCGTTATACTACCACTCATTCATTCGTAAACCTGCACGGACCAGCCTGGTGGAGTCTTGTAAAAACAAAAATCCCCAATATGTACCGATGTGTCTTGGCCTTCATCCAACGGCAGATTGTGAATGGCTGAATTCGTTTTTTTTGTGCCACGTCAGTGCTGTGGGACCACCAGCGTTGATCACCAGCATTGGCGAAGAGCTCGTGACTCTGGTTAGCGTCTAATCCATTCCTTTGAGTCAGGCATCACGTGGAGATGGTGCCATTAAATTGAACGTGATACTGTTGAGAAATTAAAGAATGAATGGCGCTATGTTTGTAAAACAGCAGACCCTTGAGGCAATCTGGACCCCGACCAACTCAAGTCACGAGTTGCTATTGTAGGAAACTATTTTGAGGTCTGTGCTAAAATCTAAACCTTCGCAGAATAAACAGCCACACTGATGAGCGTGAAGATGCGAGCGTGATCACGAAACGCTCACGTCTGACACAGGCGTCGGGAGGCATGTATCCAGCAGTGGATTGATAAAAGGAGGCTGTAAAGATATCTCAGAAGCACTTCAAACTCATGGCCACAGTTTTAATAATTATTAATAATAATTTACATTTTTAAGGTGCGTTTCATCCAAGGATCCCAATGTGCCGTAAATATATTTCTGTGTGTAGCTTGATCTGTGTATTAGAAAAAATCGAACCATTCAGCAGCAGCTAAGGTGGTGTATTAAACCTGTTACGTTTTAAATACCTTATGAAGCACAACCCATAGGTACGTATTCATTCCACCTGAAACCATCAGTCTGTAACCAAATCATCTGATACATGCCCGATCTCATCAGATCTTGGAAGCTAAGCAGGATTTGAGGCTGGATGAGTGCTTGGTTGGATGTTTGTTGTGCCTTGCTTGCTCGCAGAATAAGCGGAACAGTCACGGATCTGTCATGGCTTTCGATCTGCTGACCTCGCCAAATGTCGATTTAAACTTTGAATGAAACACGCACGCGGTGCTTTGCCGGGTCCAAAAATTGCACAATGGGAGGTTTTGTTGATTTCCAATGTTTGGGGGGGGGGGGGTTACCAATGTCCAGACAAACAGCCAGCCCACCCATGGTGACCATCAGCCTTTGGCAGTTCTGGCCGTCCTGCGAAATTTTTGGCACTCATCCCGCACACCGTAACAAATCGATGAGTGGCTCAAATATATATGCGCGATTTAACAACCCTGTCGTGACATTTAGCCTTCAAAGGATATCAAAGGATCAATGATTAACAAGCGATAGCAGCACCAACTACTACTCCTGCTGCAAGATGGAACACTGGATTGGACTGCAGTAAACTTCTCGATTTAAAGCTTTCGTGACTGCAAGGATCCATACTCTTTGGTTCTATTGGGTAAAGTCACGTAGGTAAAAAAATAAAATAACAAAAATCACGACGTTTCAGCCACAATACAAGCTAGTTTCTCTTAAACTAGTCCTGAATACCTCCAAAACCAAGGTGCTATGCTTCTCTCCGGGATTAAAGCAGGAAGTTATTTTTCCCCAATTACATTCCTTGAATAATTATCAAATAGAGCAAGTCAAGATCTATAAGTATCTTGGGGTCATCCTGGATTCAAAACTTCGTTTTGAAGATCACATTGATTATATTGGTAAAAAGACAAAAATAAAAATTGGTTTTCTGTATCGACACAAGCACTGCTTCCCCCCAATGTTCCGTTTGGAATTGATAAAAGCTACCATACTGCCTCTACTTGACTACTGTGACATCGTGTATAAATCAGCCCCAAGTACTGTACTGAAGAAGCTTGATTCCATCTATCACTCGGCCTTAAAATTTGCATTGAACTGCCCATATAGGACTCACCACTGTGATCTCTACATTGGGTCAAACTTAACATCTCTTAATGTTCGACGGCTTGTGCACCAGATCTTATTTATTCACGATGTACTAACAAAAAATTCCGCAGACTACCTACTGGATCTCCTCTCTGTTTCAAAGAACAAATTTGACCTCAGGTCTTCGCTCATTTACCAGCTTCACATTCCCTATTGCCGTACTAAAACTGGAGGAAGGGCCTTTGCTATTGATGCCCCTAGGGTCTGGAATGCTATTGCCAATAAACTGCAACTTGAATCACTACCTATGAGATCTTCACTCAAAACTGCTCTAGAGGAGTTGTACAACCCTAGCTGCCACTGCTATTCAGTGGCCGAAAATATGGCTCTAGATTTTGGTGTTATAATTAATTTATGTAGTTTATTGTAAAAAATTCGGTCACAGTCCCTATGATCACTGTTAAATTGGATTTATGGCTTTTATTTTGGTGATTTCGAAAAGTTATTTGTGTTTTGGCCATATTTTTGTTTATTGTAGTACGGAGTTGACTGATGGCCTTAATCTTAGTTGTCTTGTGGTTGTTGTTATTTTGACTTGCATCCCACTGGGATTTTTGCGCACAGCGTTGGTGTACGGTGCTATTTCAGGAATATTTTGATATATTTTTCCTGTATTTTCTGTTTGCACAGTCACATAATCACTTTAAGACGTTTTCTTGTTGATGTTTTTTGTTTGTTGCGGTTGCACCAGATTCAAGAGCCGAATGGCTCACAGGGCTATACCAAATAAATGAACTATGAACTATCAGGTGAAGGGACGAGACTGTCTGGAGGACAGCGCTGGAGTGAGAGACTGTCCTCCAGACAGTCTCGTCCCTCCTGATGAAGGCCGCTTGTGTTGTGGCCGAAACGTCGTGATTTTTGTTATTTTATTTTTTACCTACGTGACTTTACCCAATAGAACCAAAGAGTATGCAGTAAACTTACAAATCGCGCTTCCCTTGTGCGCAATAAGCAATTCGTCTAGCTGGGCGTCAATCAACTTTCAAAACGGATACGTTTATAGATATCTTATCGGTTTTTAAGACGTACATATCTGATCAGTTTTGATAAGGTATGATTGCCAGAATGTATTACAAAGGGGTCCCATAAATGACGTCACGCGATGTTGGAAGATTTCTGACACCCCCCCCCCCCTCGTCACACGGCGTCACAAAAAGTCAGACCCCCCTCAAATATGACGTCACAAAGCTCTTCCCCCCCCCCCCAAAAAAAAACCCATATTTACATTTTGAAAGATAAAACATGCTTCAAATCGCTTTAAACTATTGTCATTGTAGTGCGTATTCAATGTGGCGCTGCAATCTGATGTTGTAGGAGTGTTGTTATAACAATTATGTGACGTCACATTTCTCAACTCTCCCCCTTAGGTGCGTGACGTCATTTATGGACGGCCCCAAAGCAGGCACACCGATGTTACGTCCAATTCCTTTTTCTCGTCGCGCGTGTCTCAATAGCCGCGTGTTGTGTGCACTTTCTTACGCCTGTGAGCGCGTGTTAACACGGCGGTGCGACACCCACAGTGAAACCTAGAACACCCACAACAGCTTTACTGGACATTACAACTGTTGCATTGTAGCCCGTGCCAAAGTCGTAAGCAACCGAGCACTTCCATGCACTATACACACGCACGCCAACTGCGATCTTCCACGCTTGTATGGTGTACGGTACTGCACACGATAACATACACGCAATGGGCACGTTATATATACACACACACACACAAAGTCTCTACAAATGCTACAGGTCAATACGTACAATTCAGTACTTACGTGACGCTGAGCCGTAAACAGCATATACATAGCATACACGTATTATCTAAATATGCAGAGCAGAGTATATGCTTATGCGTAGTGTACACCGAATACATACGTGTCTATTAGAACGTCTATTTTCTGAGTCTGTGGCACATGCACGTGGACTGTACGTGCTGTGCGTACTGCGTGTACTTTATGTACTGCGTGTACTGTATGAAATGTTCGCAATGTTTACTGTGAACTGTATGGACTGTATATATGTAACGTGTATGAACCGTGTGTACTGCGTGTATGAACAGTATATATGTGATGTGCATATGTAATGTATGAACTGTACGTACTGCATGTACTATGTATATATAATCTACGTACTGTGTGTATGTACGGTTTGTACTGCATTGCCCGTGTGCCCTGTATGCACCGCTGTGTATGTTTATTGCCCGTACGCGTCGAAGTTGCGGAGCAGCAGCAGCAGCACCACCACCACCACCGCCACCCACGTGCTGCGTGTCCAGACGCACGCTGCTCCCACGTGGCCGCGCTTCCGGGTCACGTCTGAATGCAAACGGACGCGATCCAGACAGAGCACGTACTGAGCAACGCCGCCCCTTGTTGTGCGGCGAGGTCACACGCCTGTGCGGCCGTGAGACGCACAGGCGCTCTCTCACGCCGGCACAACGTATTGTAACATCGCGCAGTTTCGCGTGTGTAATGCGTGTGAAAAATTGTGTATTCAATATAGCTATACCATCATTAGATCATTCCTCATCATACACCACCCCTGTTTGCTGGCCTCGCGCTGATGGTAGCGATCTTACGCCACTCGCTGGTCGTTCTCACTCATTGAACGTACGGCGTTTCCGTGCACCCCTTACACCACCGAGTGTCGCACACAGGGCACCGCCTGTCACGTCTCGCGTATCAAACCGCGAGACTTACCGCTGGCACAACGTAACAGATTATATTCTGGGTTCTTCTTTGGGGAAGGGTGGGTTCTTCCGTTAGATATGTCAGTAGTTACATCATCCCATCACGCCGATTAAGGCAAACTCACGCCACTCGCTGGCTGCTCTTAAGCATTGCACGTCGAGATATGTGAACCAGTCGTAATCGTACCATGTAAATTGTTGCTGCATGTATAATATAATTTATACGGTACAGTACGTCCTTCCTAAGTCATACCGGTTACCCGTATTCTTGTATAGGGGAATTTAGTTTTAAAAACCACGTTTTTGTGTTTCTCCCTTGTGATGGGACTTTGTAGGATGAACGTTGAGATTTATAAGGGCACGGGGTGATCAATAAGGTCTGTATTGGTCTGTAATAAGTTGGCACTTAGAATGGGTTGACAGGTTTGCTAAGTATAATCAGACAACCCCCATGGCGGACACGGAGCTGGAGAGGCCTTCGTTCTGCGGGGGATTGATAACGTAAAAAAAACACCCAAGCTCCCCATCTTGGGAATGTGGAATGTCCACCACTGTCTCAGAACAGTAAAGAAGACTTCAGCTCCACGTGCTAACTCGAAACTTTGCATATATACAGAAATGCGTGTGCCTTTGCTAAGTTAGAAGGGCACCATCTGGATGAAACTACATTACTCCAGGGAAATGCAAACATGTCCGTTTTTATTCTCACTTTTTATGAGGATGCTGTTGCTATTCTTGTATAGGCTACACAATCAAAGCTATTGAAAGTTTCAAAAATGTGCCTTGGCCTATATTTATTATTGTATTCATGTACGTTATATACCGATGTATTATGGTATGTCTAATATGCAGCTAATATAACTACTCTATCTGTTTTTTTAAGGGTGAATGTGCATGTTACATAATAGTTGAACATGTATTTTCGTTTTAATCATTAACCCACTTTAAAAAAAATCCTCCACTCTCTAGGTATACAGTGACCATGGAATGTCAGACATCTCTGCATGACCCCATCCACCGTTGTGTGGGTCACGCTCCAGGAGAATGTAAAAAGAAAAGTTTCACGAGAAATCTCACTGCAAGTGATGACAGAGTAAAGATTCCAAAATTTCTGGTAGGCTTTACCGGGATACGTGTGAGCTAGCAGCCCCCTCGACATCTCATCAGCCTACTTTTGCATAGCCATGCCCACTCAACCACCAGAACCGTATTTAGCCTTCTCTTGAGTCATGCCAGATATATTTAAACCAGGGTCAAAATTCGGACTTTTTCAAGTTTTTCAGGACACCGAGAACCTCGTAATGAAACCGGGACTGTCCTGACCAAACTGGAATGTGTGGTGGCGTTACAATTAGTATGCTTGTCTGTCCAGGAAGGCCTAACTTGATCTCAAGGCCTTTTTTTCAGGAGGGCCCTGCCAAGTTTTCTCAGTAGAGGGGAATATTGCTACGTATAATCTCAAGTAAGTATTTTTGCGGGAAATGTTTGAGCATTGGAAGGAAACCAGAGAACCCGGAGGAAACCCATGTAGAACAGGGGGGGGGGGGACATACACACTTCACGCAGAAAGGCGGGAATGAAACTTAAGTACTTTTTGCTGTTGAGACGCAACAGTTACCATAGTCTTAGAACCGTAGAGTGGAGGGTAGGGTAGCAATAACAACTTTACTACATTTGGTATTTCTACCGTTTTTATAGCGCTGGGTTATCATGATGATGCTATGTTCTACAGAGGGATATTGTCTGCGAGTAGGGAGTGATGTTGCTATATGTAACCCAGTTGAGAATTTGGAATGTATACATAACACCAACTTACCTGTCTTTAGTGTTGGCAAATACTGTATGTTATAGCCCAAGGAAATGAAATTAACATGGTAATGCGTCACGGTGTTAGTCACCAATATGCCACCAGAACATCTCGGAGGCATGCCTCGACTTGCTGACCAAGCCATGCGTCCTGTTATTTTGGCACGTCTAGTTATTCATCATCATCACCACCACCATCATGAAAGCTAATCAAAGTTTTATTTCATGTGGATCTGTCATTATCATGACTGTATCACGAGTCATTATCATGATGTGTATGTATCATCGTCATTATTACTGTCAATTAGCATCAGTATCTTCATCACTTCATCATCTCCATCAGCTGCTATCTATTCAGTCACGTACATATATTAGTAGTGATCCCGTGACTTTCAGCTGTGTACCAGCTTCATCAACTTTATAGATCATCAGCACTGCTTCGTGTGAGCACCCAGGTCCCTTGCAAATTAGACTGCCCTGGTCTCGAGTTATCACCTGGTTAAACAATATAAACTTGAGTTCATTCCACTACTTCAATGCGTGCACATTGGTCAATTGCTTTCAAAGGAAATATATAATAGGCGACGTTTTAGGCAGTGGCCCTTCTTCATAGCACATAAATACTCTTCATACCACAGCACATAAGGGACTCCTCTATTTACGAACGAGTTAGGTTCCAGAGTCTAACACTGTTTGAGACTAGGCTCGAATGAAAGCTGTCTCTGGTTTGGACCAATCAGTTTCAAAGACAATGCACATACTATCAGAGCATATATTTTTTTCTTCTTTGGTTCTTTCGGTAAAGTCACGTAGAATGAGAATAAAATAATAATAAAATCACTCCAGCGCTGTCCTACCAGACAGTCTCGTCCCTTCACCTGATGAAGGCCGCTTGTGTTGTGGCCGAAACGTCGTGAGAATATTATTGTGTTATTTTATTTTATCAATTTATTATTTTATTCTCATTCTACGTGACTTTACCGAAAGAACCAAAGAAGATGAATCATTGCAGTCACGAAAGCTTTAAATCGAAAAATATATTTTTTTTGTTTGCATGTTCACCACAAGTGTATGTGGTTAATGCAGACATGATTCAGTTTGGTGTTTAAACATCTTGACACCTGTTTTATTGCCAGAAAGAATAAAACCTATTCTTATAAGTTCCAGAGATCTGTCCACAAGTGGATTTTTTCGTAAGTCCAACTTTACACCTGTCGATTCCAAACATGTACGGCATGCACACTAAACACGGGGAATGGCTTTAAAAGTTGTATAATATCCTGTAGATGTAGATTCCACTAGTTATTCCTGTTCCACAGATGTAGATGCCACTCCCTCCATCTCTTGCGCTGCGGTTGAACTTACGACTCTCCATCCGAACAGGCAAACTGGGCATACGGACAGGTTTGTTCGTATTCTTAGCTCTTTCGGTAAAATCACGTTGAAGGGAAACAATAACATAATAAAATATATAAAACAATAAAAAATTCTCACGACGTTTCGACCATAACACAAACGGTCGTCATCAGGTGTGTTGGTTCGCATTTATTTATTTTTGAACGGTATATTTATTTATAAAAAACGTCAGCGCCACGCGCAGCGATTTGTCAGTTTATTTAGAAGGACTAGTCCATCTATGTTCTGAAAAGAGGAGGGGGGAGAAGAAAATTAATGTATGCTGTCTGAAAGACACCGTAAGCGTGAACAATCAATTAAGACCTGAAATGGTTTATTAAATCCTTCCATTGATTGCTAAGCCAGAATCCATCTTCTCGGTTGAAATTGTCTCTGTGCTTGTATATGTGGATAGCCTCATGAACGAATCTCTCGTGGTAGCCAGATGGCTTACAAAGAACCTCTGTCTTGGAAAAGTCAATGTCATGTGAGCTTACTAAATTATAACAATGATCTGCCATAGCCGAGGTGTTGGTCCTACCGTGTTTAAGGTCTGCTTTGTTCGTGTCTCTAAAAGTTCATAAGTCGAGTGTTCGTAAGTAGAGGAGTCCGTTGACACGATTATTCAGAGGACGTGCTATGCAGAAGGGCTACTTACATTTTTTTCCCTTTTAAGGCCACAGTGTTAATGACAAATGTGTTGAGTTGGTTTGTTATTTGTGTTTCTGCACCTCTGCCAACGCAGTGGCATCACCGAATAAATAATAAATACACATTTGACAGCTTTATTCAAATCAAGTCTCTCCTATCTCATGATTGTTTCCTGTTATTACAAAGCAACCCAGCAGGGGGCTTTACTGGTACAAGTCACCGCTGGCCCCATTGTGTTAGAGTTTATTTCACACTGCCATCGCTGGCATTCGTGGCGAGTGAAATTTTATCTGGTTAGGGACGACCACGTCCCCCCCCCCCCCCTACCTTTTTCACCAACATTGCACTGACAAGCGTGGTGAAGTATGGTCAAAGAACCCCAGCGTGGGGAGATCTTCATCCAGCAGGGAATTGACAAATGGTTGTTCTGTACATAATAACCAAGCAGCATTGACTTAACAGATAAACCTCTACTGATGAGGCTATATGAAGGTGAAATTGGTCCAGATTTGGCATTCTTAAACAAATATTAATGAGCTGATGGACAACGCACTACTTTACAGTTGGGCTCCGGATAAATGTAATAAATATGAGCGAAGCAAAGGTCATGTACAAACATTCACGGAACATTTCTCTAAACTATTGTGTCTTCCAGAGTGACTGCAGGTGGAGCGAAGTAAGAATGATGACATAAATAAGCAGACAAAGGCAGGTTGGAGTCATCTTGGAAAGCTGAACTTTACAATGAGAAGTAACATACCGGTGTGCCCACATAAGTACATAAGGCATTAGAATACCGAAATCAGTGCGTACTACCCATGAGATATGCTAGGAAACATGGTTATTATTAACATCAAGACTGAACAGTGTGTAAAGAAGCACACATATGCTTCCTGGAATTACATCGAGAGACAAAAAGAGGAATTAGAATACCAAAATCAGTGCATACTACCTGCTATGAGATATACTCAGAAACATCGTTTTTAACAACAAGACTGAACAGGGCGTAAAGTAGCATAGATCTGTTTACCTGGAATTACATCTTGAGACAAAAAGGGGAAAAACACGTGGATTAGAGAGCATGAGGACGTCAATTACAAGTCAAACTTAAAAAAAAGTGGGCTTGGACAGGACATGTCACGGCTAGAAGGACGATGGCAGATGGCCAAGAAAAATAAGAGTGGCAGCCAAGGAATAGAACACGACTGAGAGTACATTACAGCTAGGAGATGGGGCAATGAAAACAGCTCATGTGACGGTGCAAGGTTCCATCGCAGCACTGGTTTGTTGATGACGGTGAATTTTGTGGGTTTTCGTAACCAATAAGATTCATATTTGTTGGGTTAGGCCACGCGATAGCTTTACGACAACTTTCTTGACATTAACCCCTCGCATCACCCAACAATTGGATTGTCACTTTGCAAACAATATTTGCCGTGAAAATCTTAAGCCACCGGTGAGAAGTGTTATTGGTCAGGATTTGATCAATAGAGTACATTGATTGGCACGTTTGAATAATTATTTGTGTGGGCTTGACAATCCTGTCGGGTGGTGGAGGGTTATTGACAAGCATTTTGTGCTGCTGCGTTGGCAGTGGTGCACACGCAGTTAACAACAAAAAAACAACGTCAATATGCTATAAGGGCCGTTGCCCGAAACGTCGCTTATCATGTCTTTTTTCTTCTTTTTCGGCCACGGTGTCATCGACGAATGGTGTGAAATTGTTGTCCGACCCAATAAAACAAACATTGTGTCGGACAACACCAGCACGTACAGCTGTCACGTCTGTACGATAAATGTTAATCGAAATCGTCATTGATGGTGCAAGCGGAAAAATAAAATCAACCCCAGCAGCGTTCCGCGTCGCTTAGCAACACAAGAGGGGGGGGTGGGGCGGCGCTGTGTTGAGGGCGACGTGTGCGTCGTGACGTCACCGCGCACGGACGTCACGGCGCGCGCGCTGACGTCAGGGCTCCTAGGCGCGCCACTGATTTAGGGTGGAGGATGAGGCGTTTCGGCGTCCGAGGAGGAGGTCTATGGGATAAAGTTTTCTACGACCGCCGTACATTGTGGCCGCGCCAGTCTCTCTCGCCGCAACTGGAATTTTCTGTGCGCGTGCGTGCAAATACGGAGGTACACTCGCTCTGCGTGATTCGTAACTTAACCCGGAGCGCGCTAGTCGACCCGTGCAACTGGGTGGACCAGGCGTTTTTGTTTGCTCGCCATGGTGGACGTGGTGGTGATGATGGGGGGGGAGGAGACGGAGGATGCCTCGACAATGACGACGGCGACGACGACGGTGGTGGTGAACAGCAGCAACGGCAACAGCGTCGATGGTGATGGTGGCGGCGGTGGCGGCGATGACGACGACGGTGACGACCACGACGGCGGCGGCGGCCGTCGGCAGCGGCTTGCGGCATCTGCGCAGCGCAGGGGAGACTCGCCCGAAGTGGCCCAGCTGCAGGAGCTCGTGAGGAAGCTCGAGCGGCAGAACGAGCAGCTGCGCCGGGCGAGGAGGACGGGCGCGAAAAGGCGGCAGATGAGCGACGACCATCGACAACTCCTCGACTTCCAGCTCCTCCACCAGCAGCAGCAGCAACAGCAGCAACAACCAAATGCTGAAGAGCACAGAGGTTCGCTGGACCCCGCCGGATTAACGTCTCCGTTGCTAGGGCCGCCGTGCCGTGGTTGCGCGGACTTTCAGCCGATGTCGCCGATGTCACCGATGTCGCCCACGTCGCCCACGTCGCCGATGTCCTCGGGCCTCCAAAGTCCCTCTTCGGACCTCCAGACCGTGATGTCTGATGCAGGGTCGGGACGCCTCCACCACCGTCATCACCACCAGCACCATCGTCACCACCGTCGACACCGTCAGCAACAGCTACAACAACAACAATTTGGGCCTTCGGATCATTATCCCGTGTCATCAAACTTTCAGGTGGCCTCGGATCTTCAGTTGTCTTCGGATCTTCATCCCATTTCGCCGGACCTCCATGTGCCCTCAGATCGCCAAGTGTCCCCGAACCTGCATACCATTTCCTCGGACCTTCACGTGTCCTCAGACCTTCACCCCGTGTCCTCGGACCTTCATCCCATGCCCTCGCACCTCCACGTGTCTTCGCGCCATCATTCCGTTCCCACTGACCGTCGTGTGTCCTCAGACCTCCAGGTTTCTTCTCACCGGCAAGTCCATGCCGTCTCGTCGGATGGCCACGCCACTTTCCCAGGCCCCCAGCCACCAAGTTCAGTTCGAGTGGAGGAGACCTTAAGGGAGCCGGGAGGACACGGCGAGGGAACCCTGAATACCGTGGCCTTAGTTGATCTTGAAGAGTGCGTACGTTGGCAAGATGAGAGCTGGCAAGTGCAAATTGCTTGTCTCTTCTGGCTGCTTCACAATGTGTAACATCATGGTTATCCAGTACTTTTCGTTACACTGTGTAACACTATACTGTTGTTATGCATGTGTTATTTTTTTACTGTATTTTATGTAAGGTTACCTCGCCCACTCAGAACGTCTGTGAATCATGGATTTAGAACGAGGTTTCATTTTTTTTTACCAGATTTAAATGTCTTGGTTTGCCTGCACGTTGCTGACCCATGCCTGTTTCCTGTCTGCTTCGTTCCTGCGAAGTTATCCGACTCATCTTTTATGCGGTACATTTTCAGGCTAACAATAACAAGTGCAGCAGTTTAATAATAATGAAAACATGTCTAAGCTGCTTAGGTATAGCTGTTTTCCTTACTGGGGAATGTGCCCATAAAAGCAACTGTTAATTATTAACAGAGCCCATTTTCCACATAGATAATTTTAGGTTAAGTAAGCCAGTATATATAAGCCTTGGTGCTATCATTAAGTAATATCAGTATCATCAATGATGCAAAGTTTATCAAGTAATTTCCTTCAACCTGCACTAATCTGGGGTCATTAGTGCACTTTTTACATCAATAGCTATTTTTTTCTCATCCACTTAGCAGTTGGCACTCTCCCATCCGTCATCCTTTCAGACCTTTTTTGAGTTTGCAGAATGCATTAGCTGGTTTGTTTAATGCTGCCAGGGAAAACGTAAACTGTTTGGTTTTGATGTCTCCAGATAACCTTCCAGCGCCCACCACAATCCCACCCCAAGCTTATTGATTTTTTTCCCCCCTTCTCTTTCGGTGCGCTCCTTCCTGCCCGCAGGCTGTACACGTCTTCTCGCCAGTGCAGCACCCCTGACGGGACGACGCCGAGCTGGTACGAGTGGAGCCGTCGAGTCCTGGACAACCCGAGCCCCGAGATCGAGGCGGCTCGCCGGTCCCTCATGTCGCGCCTCAGCAGCACAATGCTTGGTATGGGGTGCAGCACTTACCCACTTGCCCCACAATCGAGCAACCCTCGAACTAAGGGCAAGGAGATGTGTATGGTCGTGTGGTATGAGTCTTTAGTCTTAAGACTCATATCACACCATCATACAGACTCGGCAATATATTCTTATTTCATATGGAACAATAGCAGAAGATTAAGAAGAAGACTTGGCTGTACAAAAATACATTTCATAGCCTCTAGGTTTAAGGTCGCAGAACCAGGGCTGAAGTTATTATAGGGATCACTTGCAGATTTAAAGAGCAAGAAGATGCAGGAGCTGCTGCGACGTGAATATGTAAGTCTTCTGGGTTGTCTGGTGATTATAAATAGACTAAATTAAAAATAACATTTTTTTTATAACCCCTAAATTAAGGTGGCAAGTGCCATTGCTCAAATAATTTTAGAGGGCACCTGCAGCAATGAGCAAGGAGATACAGAGGGTAGTGCGCCAAGAATCTGTAGTCTACAGGCTTGGCTGGTGATTAAAGACGGACTATATATGTTGGTTTAATCTGCCATGACTCAAATAATCTTTAGGGGTACCTGCCTGTGATCAAATTTACTCTGCCACCTCTACCCACAGCACTCATAAGATTTTCATCCCTGCTTACTCTGCTCTTCACCTATAGTCAGTGTTCTTGGCTTCAAGGAAAAGCGTATTGACAGATGATACGAGCATATCGTTTTCTTGCATAATGTCATTATCAACCTCTTATGCATGTCAAGTGAAATGTCCCATTGTAAATATGGCGAAGAATCAATGTGAATTTTGATATCAGCACTGGGATACCACTTTAGTGTGCTGTATGGTTTTGAGATTCGTTTAGCACATTTGGGACCCACTCTAAGTGACATAAGGGGAATTGCAGGATATACGATAGTTTAAAACGGTAGCAGGACTGTGGAGTGAGTAACGTGGTGATGCAGTGGTTAGTGCATTGTGCTACAATGCACAATGCACTAACCTAGATTTGATTTCCAGCCAAAGCTAACATCAGTGGAAAGGGATACCTGAAAGAGGCCTTCCCTTCACCATCCGCACTCACCCACGTGGGGAAATTTGGTCACATAACCCACGTAACCGACACGGCGTAGGATGACCTTTCATCCAGCAGTGGATTGACAAAGGACTCTCAACCATACAAACATGGCTGTATATTTGCACACATTATATACACATCACACAATTTCCCATTTGTTTCCCTCTTGCAATTTAACCTTATTTTACATTTCATCCACAATATACAGTGCTTATTATATGGTACGAAACTGCCATTGTGGCACAGAAGGGAACACTGGTGAATAGATATTGTGGCCATCACTGCTATAGCATGATCATAAAAGGCAATGTATTGTGCTGGCACAAACACGCGACACAAAACTCTTGTTTCAGCTAAATGGTCAAAGGGGGCCACGGGACGTGAGCAGTTTCTGGAATTTGGCAGCCGTAGTGGAAGCGCAGCAGAGCCCCATTGTGCCGTGACCGATTAGGTCCGTGGCCCCGTCCCATGTTCTTGCTGTCTTGTAGGCAGTTCTACAGTGTTCCTTTTATATACAGCTTGGCCTAAGCTGTGGAAGGTCAGTGACAGCAGTTATGCATGCCACTTGTTTCACTGAATGATTGAAAGTCATAACTATGCTTGCACGATACAGCAATAACGTTTTTCACGTTATGGCAGATACGATATAAATTTAATAATTGAGGATTATTGCCGTATCAATATTCCACTACTTTATTATTGTAATTTTACTTTTTATTCTATAATATCTATGCTTTTCTGTATTTCCAGGACACACAGAAATTACTTAAGTTATTTAACTGCAGTTCAGTACAACCTGCCATAAGTCTTCTAAACGTTGGAAAGTTACAATTTATAATGCTTACAAGGCAGTGCTGTCAGCCATGCAAGGAACAATTAAGTAGTTAATTAAATGACGAAGATGACGATATCACGTTAACCACCATGCTGTCAATGACTCCAGAAAACATTTTACAAAGTGGTCATTAAATGGATATCTGTTATTTACAACTTGAATAGTTTTTGGCATTTCATATTTTTTCAATCGCAAAATATAAAAAAAACACAATGAGCAACGGTAATCAGGATTTAGCAATATTTAAAAAACAGATTTTTTTTAAATTGTGGAGCTTATCATGTACAATTAACTATTATATCGTGGTAGCCCTACTAATAACCTTGTATGTTTATGAAGATATGTTAATACAAACTTTTCAGTGATTGGCAGATGTGGGTACATAGCATCTTGCACAGCTTTTAAGTTGTTGCAAGCAGCGTTAATATTATCATGAAATCAACATCTACCTCGTTCATGCATCAACTGAAGCTGAATGCATTCAATTTGATCCACTTTTGTATATGGTGAAATCACCCTGAATGCACCCGATCATGTCAAAACGTGGAAACTAATCAGAGTTCAGCCTGATTAGTACTTGAATTGGAGACTCCCTGGGAATACCAGGTGTTGTTGGCTTGGGCTTCATGTTGACCAGGTAGATGGCAGTGCAAAAATGGGTACACCAGTCAATCAGCAGGTCACGTGTGGTGGGGTAAAGTGGGTACTGCCACCTTTTCCAATATGTCTGGCCAGTGTGAAAGAGTAGGCCAAATCCCCTCTAGAGGGGCTCCCCAGAGCTCCCTCTAGCGGAGGCCCTTCCCCCAGAAGTGGCATGCGCAAGCAATTGTAGAGCTGCATCTTCTTTTACTTGTCTGAGCTATGGCTACTAGCTTGGACAGGCTCTGACAAGTTTGGTGGTTAAATTTCGCGTGTGCATTTGTGCCGAGCCAGGCCACGGATGCATCATTTGCAGAATGCACTGTGCCTCAAACCCGCTAAGCTTGGTTAGCGGACAGTTCTTAAACAATACGTCATCCTCTTGTCTTGTACCACAGCTACAGTTCAGGTTGTCATATCGGCCCCACCTGTGCAGGCTTGATGCACACAGGCCTTGGCCAGTTCAGAACCTGTTGAGCAGGGCCCAGTCACGGTGGGCGGATCGTAGCGTCGTCCACCACGGGGAATTGGTTCCTTGTTGATGATGAGCCACTCCTCACACCACATTGACTCTGCTGACACATCCTTGCATGGCATATTGGCCCACAGTGGGTGCCGTGATGATAGATAGACAGACAGTAGGCAGGCAAAAAAGGTTTGACGTCAGCGGAAGACTTAGGTTGGCGCAAATCTTCTCCAGTAGCTCGCCAGTGGCATTCTCCGAACGGATGTGTCGAATTGCTCAGAACTGGAATCCAATGGAGTAGCCTGTCGAAGAGCTGCTGAGATGATGAGCATTATCTAATGTAAATTCCTGTCGGCAAGCTTGGTGTGCGAGTGCACATCAAGATTGTAATTTCTATAATCGATAATAAGTGTCTGAAGCCACATAGACACTACAAACTATTACATGATATATAATTGCCAATAAAAACCTACTCCTTATAAATGTTGCCTTGGTGTCTCTGTGCGTGCAACCTTATTTGAAAATCCTATTATCTGAAATATTTACCGGGTGTGCAGGGTGGTGCATGACCCTTATCCAGTACATTGGAAGCAGGGGTCAGTGCATCCTATAGATTCTATAAACTCTAAAACCTGCTGAGCTGTGTGATAAGATGGCAGTAGAGATATGTTTGTGAACCTGTTGGTGTAAATCTTTCAGCTTCATTCCCTTAGTTGTGTGGGTTTTCTTTGGGTACTCTGGTTTGTTCTGACATGCTAAAACGCTTCTCATAAAGGAATGTGCCAAATATTTCAATGCAGGACTCTCCTGAAAATCCACAAGTCTTGATACACCTTGAGACTTTCACAGCTACGTACATGGAATCCTACACATGGTGTGTGATTAGTCATACAATACCAATGTGTCCAGTGGTGTCTTAAGTACTAAACCTGGTGTTTACAAATGGCTATACATAATGTATTGTTTGTAATTGTCTTTTGGTTCGACCAGTTTGAGTCTACTGTACACACGCATACAAAAGGTGAGTGACACGCAATACGCCCAACTCAGATTCATCCACGGCGGGACAGTCATAGATTTCCTGCAGGGGATTTAGCTAAATCGCAGGCTACCTGCCAAGCCCATACACCTGCATTTCAAAACCCTACAGCCATATCACACGAGCATTCAGACAGGAACCGGCACGATCAGTTTGCGAGTTCAGGGATTTTTAGGCAATGTTTTTTTCACCCCCCTCCAGCCCCACCCCCCCCCCCCGAACTTTAATTGTGTTTTATATGTGTGGTTCTTGTTGTAGCTAATACATTACATGCACAATTTATATTAATAGTGAAAAGAATTGGTGCCAGAATGATATATTAAAACAAATAAGTTGCGTGTTGTTTTTAAGTTGGTTGTGCTTTTCCTCTAATTTCATGGTGTGTTTCCTGTGCTTGATAGAGAAGCGAGCGATGCTGAAAGTTCCATAACACGTTTTTGCCTGCTGGATAATTTACGCTCGCGTGCCTATGTTTTTTTTCCTCTTTCTTCCCTCGGGCTTTGCTCTGTATATTTATACAAAATGGAGCAGTCCAGCTGTCCGTTGAGAAACGTAAACAAAAGGATGTAAATTGTCCCCAACGTGTGCCCCCTTGGGTATATTGGTTAAAAACATTTTTGCCCGATGGCGTAAGGCGTGCACTTATTGGGAACACGCCGGATAAGCAATGGAACGACACGTGAGTTTCACGGCCGTAACAGTGTTGTTTTGTTTCCTGACCATGTTTTGCAGGGGGCAGAAATAGGATGCACCGAGTGAGCGGCTGTAATCGACAGTACACCATGGTGGATTGTGGCGGCGAGAGCCCCAAAGGAGCTAACCTCACCTTGCCATCTTCCGCGCCGCAACTGGGGCGACACCAGCGAGCCGCTGTGGATGGTAATGGGGTCATACGTGCTGATGGCTTTGCAGTATTGACTGAGGCTAAAGTGGCGTCGAGTTTCAGAGAACACTGTGGGATGCAGCTGCTCGTCTTTACAGTCTGCATTTAGATAGATCTTGAGTTTCAATAAGAATGTTATTTATCCAGGAAAGCTGCAATGAGGCTCATAATGTTTTTCAGGAGGGTTCTACTTTGGGGTGTTTTGCTAAATGTTTCTTAAGCATTTATGTTAATGCAGAAGGAAATTGATTACCCTGAGGAATTGTACGCATCTGAGATGGTATTGCTGTTCCATGGCCACCTTGCAGTATAGCAGGTTTCGGAGTTTTATAAATCTAAAGTTCCAGATTAGGTTTGCATCACCGCACCTGGTGGTGATGAATGATGCCGTCACTCCAACCAAAGAGGTTGGCTGATTGTTGCTATTCCAGTGTATATTGCAAGTCACAATGCAGTTTGTAATTGTGGCCTATGCATTTACTGTTTAAATGTACTGTATAGGTTTGTAAAGGTTACATTTGAATAAGAAAGTAAAGTATATTCAAGAATATCAGGCAATATTATGCACTCATTTGGTGACAGGAGTGAATGGTTTGCATTTTCCATACACATTTATTGGTAGAAAAGTCTTAAACAGTACAAGTGGGAAAGCAGCTGATAAAAGTGATGAGTGATAGCTTGTCGAGGAAATGAAGACCTCTAGTTTGAACTATAATAGTTATGGAGTCGGAGGTACAGGAGATAAAGAATGGGAGTTCCAGACAGTGGGAGCAGCTGAGGATAAGAAACAACGAAAATGATCACATCGCAATGAAATGTGTGATAACACCTTTTCATCTGGTTTTTACCTCGATTCTGCACTATGCTTATCTTTGAGATTTTTCTACTCCACTTGGTTATCACTAAAGAATATAGACTGCTTCAGGTATTTTTTAATGATGGCAAAATGGCTTTCGGTGGAGCTGATATTTTCCTTTTCTTTCACAGATTGTGACTTGGACCATGTGACGAGGTGGTACAGCACTCCGCTAAATAAATTCGGAAGCCCTGAGATTAAAAGCTCGAAGGGGCCAGACTATGAAACACCTTTGAAAATGACGCACCTCATGAACGGAACCCAGATTCTGGATGGTGATGACTCTTGTATGGATTCCCGCCCAAGTAACATCTCTGAACTCCGACTAATGGTCTGGCTTAAGGAGCAGAGTAAGTACTTTATGAGATTCTACGTCTATTTTGAGCAACTGTTATCCAGCAGTCAACGCTTTTACCACTGGGCCAGTATGTACATGGTCGATGGCTTATTGTCTGATAATTTAAGCATGTCCTTTTAAAAAAATTGATGTTGAAATTCCTGTGGTATGTCACAAGAGTATCATTGTATGGCAGTGTAACAATATAAATTCCAAGTTATAAAATTATCTGGAGCTCAATGGTTTAAACAAAAATGTTAATTCTATTCAGGCGTGTATGGGGGGTGTGCCCTGAACTTAAACAGTAAGGTACGTTGATCGATTTGCTGTTGTGGAAGTGTGCGACATGGAGTTACCCATGTCGTGCAAAAAATATAGTGAAACTTAGTTTTCTCACGTAACAACATTAAGTTCTAAATCGGTGTCATTTATTAAACAGGCGAGATAGTCATTTTCTTTTGTTTAATATGTAATGTAATAATTATTTGGAAGTCTTTCAAAAAAGTTGTTTTGGCTGGCATGCGGGTGGGCAAGTGTACAGTGCTCACGTGACCCACGTCCCACTGCGTTCAGCCGGGTTCGTGCATGCTATGTCACACCTGCCCTCCATCCACCCTCAAAAACATGTTAACATGGTGTTTTTGCATATCATTTTTTACTATTTGGAATTTCCTGTTGTTGCTGTATTTCTTTAAACACAGGTGACCCTTGAAAAAGGGGACACCTGGTCCCATTGGATTCCTATCTGGTTATTAATTAAATGCATCTTATCTTTTGCTTGCAGAGCTGCAACAGCAAGAATTTGGGTCCTCGCTCAATGAGATGTCCCCGCCCATGTACTCTCCCGACATTCTCAAGGAGTGCATCCAGGTGTGCGGCTTTGACACAACATGCATCTGCAGTTTGGAGACAACCATGCTCGCAGAGGCTGCCGCAGACCTCTCCTCGTGCCAGGTTTTCCTCCAGTCGGGGGCGACCACCGCCGACCCTCGAACAGGAGACCCGCCGGCTTCGCTGGCACTGCCATGTGGGCCTCGTGTGGCGGATGAGCGGCAGGACGGGGACGGCTCGTCTGTGTCGGGGCCCGCAGATTCGCCAGGGCGACTCCGAGCACCACTTCTTCACGACTTCACCCCCTCCAGCGACCGGGAGGAGGAAGAGGACACGTGCGGTCCTTTCTCGCCTTGCACGGACGATGTCGATTCTTCGAGAGGAAGCCGGCGAGAATCCCCAAGTGACCACCTCCCGAGCAAAGCGTCCCGGCTTCAGCCGCCCTTGCGTCTGCGTGCACCGCAAAGCCTCCGGACAGACGGTAACATAAGCCTAGTTACGTTTGTTTGCCCAGTGATGTAATTTTGACAGACCGCAAAGGTCGAGTGCGGCTAATTTGAATGTTCACAACTAAGGATGTGGGTATGTGTCTGTATCCATTCTACATTATCATGCAAACATGCAATACAGATCAGAGTAGAGCAGTTGCCATGAGTTTATATTGTAGCAAGTGATCACTCAACCCACCATATATCTAGGTTGAGAAAAATTAGCAGCCTTTAGTTGTCAAGCAGTTGTTTCCTTATGGAGACTGATCCCCAACCAAATGTGGAATTTTTGCCACTCGCCTAGTGAGCCACTTTCACGAATAAAATTATGCATTGCAATACGATGTGCCTTCTCTTTTCATTGTATACTTACTATACCGTGAATGTATATAATTGTTAAAAATAAAGTATACATCTATTAAGAGTGTGAACAAATATATATGCATAGAACAAGCTGTGCATTACAAACATGTATTTAACTTGGATTTAAGTATGCATTAATGTTTGCATTAAGTTATCTCGGGCAAGTTGAATCCTGAAAATCACAGCTGACATTAATGAGTGCTTGCAGTCAAAGTGGATAAACAATCTCCTGGCAACTTGCGTAAGCATCAAGGAAGCAGTGTTGAATAATGTTTTAAAGTGTTCACTTACAAGTTTTCAGGATGCACGTTTATGCTACAGTGTACAGCATCAAAAACGTACAACATTGACGTGAAAGCAATATTTGAAGAAAAAAACACGTTTTGAGAAAAAAATTATCGTATAAATAATAATGATTTACAGTGCTTTGTCTATACATTGCTGAATGAAGGCCCCCTCACCCCTGTCATGCTAGTTATTTGACCGTACTTCATGCTGGTCAGTGAGGGTTTGCTTAAGATTGAGTGCCCAAAACCGGTTCGGATATCACTTTGCATTGATGTTTAGCTGTGGCCAGGAATTCATTTCGGATCACCCGGTTCATACTAAAGTGCGTGAACCACTTGTGTCATGCTCCCCTGTATGCTATGCACCAGACACAATACAATTTCATCCCAGGATGATGTATAATTATTGCAATTTAGGGTCATGATTCGATTGTGGTGAATGTTGGTGCCTCTTGGCTGCAAATGATGACACGAGTTCAATTCATATAACATACACATGCAAAAACATCACTTTTTATGCACTCTATACAGTTAATGTATCGCGAGCTAAAGAATGTAAATCGATGCATCGTTCCACCCTGTAAAGCGTTATTGAAAATTTGAATCTGCATTTCGCGTGTGTGGTTTGTAGGCTTGCAGCAGAGGAGCAGACATTTAATGGTGGAGCCAGGGAGGGTGGCTTCTGGTCTCTCTCAGCCCCAGGCAGTGGTGCGGGGTACAGCGGTACCCCAAGGCTCTCAGCAGCGTCGAGTAGATGTGCCTGGTGCAGGTCAAGTCAAAGGCCTGGCGACGGGTACGTGAGGTTGTTCACACCCCAAGAGGCCGTAAATATACATCTTTACATGCTTTTAAAAAGTGATATATTCTCTATGTATATTAGTGGCTTAGTAAATATGCCTTCACATTCCATTGAGTCCTAATCAAACAGTGTCCTTATAAAACAATCTGAAGCTAGAAAGTAACCTACATACGTGTTGTAAATCAAACTGCTTGTCCTGAACATATTCCTAGCTATAACCCATGGCCTTATCTGGACCCCTAATAGTATCTGTGCCATTAACCAAAGCCAGGTATCAGCATGCTTACAATTTTGAACTCTGTTAAAAAATACGACATCAGTGAATACACCGTTCTCAGATAGTAATTGTTTTGTGTTTCCAGCACCTGCAGCCTCCAATGGGCTGCCAGCGGTCACTAGCCCAGGCCAAAATGTCCGGCTGGCGAACACGAACGTGGTTCGCGCAGCGGAAACGAGGCCCCGCACTCTTGCGACGAACAAGCAGCCGGCGCCGCAGCCAAGGGCAGCGAGCGGTCCCTCCACACCTGCTCGGTCGCGCCTCGTACAGGCACAGAGGCCGAAAGTGGGATCGCCGAGACACGGCCAAATCAATGCCAGCCCAAGTATGCAATGCTCACTCTTAAAATGTTGTTTTTTTACCATCATTGTATCATCCAGATCTCGCAAAGTGGTGCAGCCCTCCATGTTGGAGCCCATGGCAGTGAACATCTTTGTTCGAAAAGTACTTCCGATAGCCCTTCAAGTGACCTTTGCTCTACACAGCATGAGGCAGAACTTTCCTACCTGACCTGCGACATAGATTAATGTTCGTTGCATGGCAGTCAAACAAATATTTAAAATATATCATAGAACCAAATTTACCCTGATGGTTGTACAGTCTTTGGTGACCGGGCTGGGATTGTCAACTCATCACACTTGAGAACATGGTTTAAACACAGGCAGATGTTTGGATTCGAACCCAGGATCTCAGCGGTGCCAGCTCAGCGCTCTGATCTCTGAACCACCCAGGGACCTCGTTACACAACACGCAATCTCTGCATTCTCCTGGGCACCAATTTCGCACGTGCTGCTCGATACACTGCTTCTTTGGCCCATATGGTATCTGGTTAGTTTAAATAGGCTTGTGTTTGCCCACCATCGCAGCTGCTTTGACTATTTTGCATAACGAAGAGTGTGGTAACTTGACTTGTCTGTGCTCTGTTGCACAATGCTCTGGCTTGTTGATGCATTTAAAGTGGGGTTATAAAATGTAAAGGTTGCATGTACATGCCTGCAGGCATGAAAACATGAAATGTGCTATACTGCATTTTTCTTTGGGTAGGGAACCTTTTAAAAACGTGATAGTTCAGAGGTCACTTTTGTGTCTTGTTGAAAACTTTGACCCAGCAATTTCTATTCAATCCAAAAGAGAAAAAGGATTTTCATTTCGTGCAAAAACTGCGTAAGATTAGTTTTATTTTTTAGTTTATTTTTATATTTGTCCTTTCCCATTCTATGTCACCTTATAGATGATATGCATGTGAGCATGCCAAACCTGAACAGCACTATCGTGCGGCCGGCTCTTGCAGTTGTAAAAAACAGCCTCAGCCTGGAGTCCAATCTTCAGGATACAGCTACAGATGCGTCTCTTCGCAGTAAAAACAAAACAGGTATCCCATCGTGTTTTGCAACTTTTGACGTTTAATCCTCCCATGTTACGACACATTTAGCATTGTTTCTCATAAAACAATGATAGCTGTTTGTAAAATCGCATAGTTCGAAATATAAAATATATTGCCTAGAAACTGGAGGAACAGGCAACCCAAAAATTAACCTAATAGTAGTTGAAGAAACGTTCCCAGGCTGTGTCCTTAATTTAAACGTCTGACAGAAACTTGGGGCTTATTTAATGAGATAAAAACACTTTAAAGTTACTGTCAAGCTAGTCATTTTGGAACATGAGTGATGTCACTGTGACATCACTGTCATACATTTTATTGTCAGTGCAGTGACATCACCATGGTGCTATTTTTGAACCCCCGACCGATGTTAAAGTCTTTATTTTCTCATTAACAAAGCTTCAAACTCATGGGACAGCCCAGTGCACACAGCTATTTGATTTTTGTGGGTTGTATCTCAAATGAACATTGTTGCAAAATATCGTAATAAGCTTTAATACTCGAACCGTCATAAAAAATGCAGGTGCTGCTTTACCCCTTCCCGTTCCGATGACATACGTTTACGTCATCGGTTTTTCTTCTGATTCCGTTCCGATGACGTAAGTGTACATCATCAAAATGAAACCGGAAGAAAAAATAGCGTAACTTTATCGGTACCGAGGCTCCCACAAGGCCATGCGGGAGGACGTGTGGCACAGTTTGGCGTCAGCTATTGTAGAGTGCGGTCGTGTGCCTACAGTTATATGCGGTGAGTGCATTGCCTTTAAAAACAACAGCGCTATGCCTCTCTAAATAAAATTAACGCTGAGCCGCGTGCACGTTTCGAGATTCGGTGGTGAACTGGAACCCACCCTGCAACTTGCAGATGTCTCGGAAAGGGTTAAGGACGACGTTTTCTTGAAGTGACATCTTTGTGCCGTAATAATGTCACAGGCTCGTCGATCGCGAGGCTGCGTCTGCCGTGCAAAACGACGCCACCTCCCGCCGCGTCCGGAGCGAGCTATCGGACGAGCTCCCAGTCGAGCAGTCCCGGCACTACTCAGGGCGGCGCAACCGGTTGTACCACCACGCACAAAGTGCCCTCGCCTGGAACCCCGAAACCCCGTTCCCGCCTGGTCGTTCCGAGCGGGTCCCCGTCGTCGGGAGTAGGAGCCGGCGACAGGATTGGTGGCACCCGCGCGGCAAGCACCAGCTCGTTGGGCAAGAGTGCGCTGCCTAAGCCGGCGGCAAGCAAGACCAGCCCTAACACCCAGCCGTGTTCTGCGGTGCCTCGCAGCAAGTTGGCACAGCCAACTCAGAGGTGAATATGTACCATGTACTTAAATGTTATGCTGTTTAATTGCACAATTAACTTTACATCGATGAACAGCCATTCTTTTGGTCATGTTACTTGCAGTGAATTGTGGGTATTAGAATTACGCTTTATGCAAATTATAAGAAAATGACCTTTATTACATTTAGGCTAACACTGCAAACAAAACTTTACAAAGAGGAACAAGGGACCTGTGCAAGTCTGCTTGATGCTGCTTGCAATGTTTTCTCATGCTACAATGAATTGTAAAAATCATAAACATAGTTTGATGTGACATAGGCAACTTGTAGTGACCCCCACAGTTCCGAAATGCATTGGTTGTGAAGGTTTTTTAATCTGTTTTATTCAACGAATTATGAGTATCGGTTGTATTACCATTCATGGACTTAGTGGCAGAACTCCCCCTTTTTACTCGCTACAAATCATGGGACTTTTAAATTGCTATATTCTTGGTTCTTTTGGGAAAGTCATGTAGATAGAAAACTAAAAATATATGTCCTAATTAAAATAAAATAATAATAAAAACAAAAATAGTAAAATTAAGTTCAATTTTTGGAAAATATATTTTTTATTTTAACTTTATTTTACTATTTTTATTGTTTTTATTATGATTTTAATTATGTATTGAAAATTTATTTTATTTATTTTTATTTTTTGTTTTCTATGTTTTCTATGACTTTACCGAAAGAACCAAGAATATGAATTCCTGCAGTCACGAACGTTTTAAGTCAACATTTTTAATTGCTTTTTTGTAAATGCTACACGTGCTGGTAATTTAAATTTCCATCTTTCAAAACTATTAGGCGTCACGAGCTTCAATTTGTAGATATTGACAGAAATAATATCAAGCATCATTCATTTGATATGGAAATTTTGGACATTACTTTGTTTTTTCTCCCCTACAGGTCCCTACAAATGCGAAGGTCTTTCGGGGTGTTAAAGGATTCTTCATGCAGAGTCAACTACTAATGAAGGATATGTAGCAATCCCAGCATATACAGATATCTATTGACTTATAGGAGTTCTGCATGTGAGATTATGAGTGTTAACTGGTGCCATTTATCATACCTTTCTCAAATTACAGACACCATATTCAGATTATATACCTCTTGAATATGTGGATGCCCATACATAATTGGGTTTTGACTTGTTTTATATAAAAAAAAATGTTATTCAAGTTGATAGGTTTGACTTTTTTGAACCACATTGTAGCTGTGCATAATTTACTGACATGCATGTACACTACTTAAGCATTCATTTATTAATCACCTTGCTTTGCAAAGAAGACGTGCATAGTTTCTTTGCGTGTTTGTGCACACGTGCTTGAAATGGTTTAAAATGTATGTGGTGGTATTTTGCAACCACACCTGCAAAATGGCACTCGGAGGGATTTTAAAGTCGCTGTTGTACTTTTTGTTTTTTTCTTGTAACTTGCTAACCTTTTTTGTGCCTAAAATCAGTCTGCTAACCTTTATTCAGTCTTCGCGTGCACGCGGTAATTGATTTTTGAATATATGTACGAATGGAACTGGATATCGTAGCAGGTTTAGTATTTTAATATATGCACATATCCAAAGTATAATTTGCATAAGCTACCTTGTGAAAAGAGGTCATACTTTTTCAATTTTATAAGCTTAGTTTTTTTTCCGATTAATATTATTCAGGACTATTTATTGTAAGCTAAAGCCAGGAGTATATATAAATGTTCCCAAATAAATTCTGGGCACGCAGGTCTTGTTAAATGTGTAGAGGATAGGTTCATATTTCCGTTATAAACCAATGATGGCATTACAGATACGCTTTCGTAGAAGAAGTGGTATGTGTTTGTTGAGGGTCTGGGGGACGTGTTGTGTGGCTGTTGAAATGGGACTGGAGTAATTTTGAAGGAAAATGGAACGTTACAGATTGTCATATAAGACAGACAGCTAGGAAAAACCTATTTTAAGTGGCTCACTGGTACGGTTTCCCACTCATTTGTGCTAATTAACGTTTGCTTTGCAAGTACATGGGTACAGAGTAAAAATTTTACCAGCTCTGCGAAGAGGATAATCATTTTGTCATGTCAATATTCATTAATTTTCAGCACCTACCGTTGGAACTTTGTGTGTTAAATGCAGTGGCCTGTGGCTTCAACAAGGTACAACCTTCACTGGTGTTTACACAATGATACTACTAATATTGCACTACATAGCACTCAACACCAGCAAATTCCATTGCATGCCATAATGTTATGCTTAACTGACTTATTTAGAAAGACTGTTACTAAATCCTGTTACAGAGGGGAATGTTTAGGTTCTGCTCTAAGCACTTGTGGCATATGTTTTGTACGTATATTTTACAAATGATAAACATTGCATGGCGTGAATGCACCCAAAAGCCCTGCATTTAGCACTTACTACTATATGGCAGCCTTGAAGGGTCGTCTGTACAATCTTTTTTGACGTGCTTAACTTTCTCAGGCCAATTGTTCACCAAACTTGTGCTAGAGGTAGGTTCTTTGGTCACTTTCCAAGACAATCAAATACACTGGTATGGTGGACTTGGTAGGAACTTGGCATGCAATGATTTATCAATATAGTATATCAATTAGAGTGAGTTATTTTTCCCACGATGCATGCATAAAATTGCACTTGCCTGAATCAATTGAAATGTATGCAAATTATATGTAAAGGATACGATTAATGGAGCAAGCAAACAGCAATAAACAAGTAATGAAAATGCAAACATTGCAGAAAATCAACAACAAAGGAACCATTCTTGAATCAAACCCCCAAACCCTGCCTTAATCGCGACGATGCATTGAACCAATCGGGAGATGAATCATAACATGCCTAGTAGGTATCCTGCTGATAAAAACCATAGTTTGCATTTTTACAAAGGAATATTTCAGGGAAGGCTCGCGAGACATTCTGCAGATGTTGCCTTAATTATTGAACAGTAGTCATGCCCTTTAACACAATTTTAGTTCGTTTATTTGAGCAGCATGGCTGGCAGGGAGAATTGTCTATGCACTTTTTGTGTTAACGTAATCAGAGCTTTGGATGCTGTCGGGTTCATTATGGTTCTGGTGATATTGTTAATGCCATTTAATGAACATTTTAAGTTGGCGTATCTAGCGATATTTATATACTATGCCATTTTATAAACAGTACATTAAATGCATTTGAGATTCATTTTTATATATTTTTTTTAATTTTGGGCGTGACAATCGCTTGGCCAACCTGTGGGGGTATTGTTCGTGGTTTATGTTGTCCTTTGTTTAATAAACATTTTGAGTTTAAACTTACAATAAATTTATTCAACTCACCATTTATATGCTCTTGAGTCCTAACGTTAATATCCGCAGCGGCAATGCTTTATCCACTGCTGTATGAAGCCTACGGCCATCCCTCATGGTCTTAATGCAACAATCCATTTCAGTCCTGCACAAGCAGATCTTATCACCCCATCTCTTTAGTGGTTATCGAGATGTTTACTCCCTCGCCTTGTATGAAGGAGGTCATCTGTGGGTTCGATCCCGACCCTGACCCCGGTATATTTGGAGTTTGCATGTTTTTCCTGTGGTCGAGTGGATTTTTTTCCCCTCCATTTACGAACATGCGGTTTAATGGATTTGGCTGCTATACATTTTCACGTAAACCACATCGTTGAGCTATAATTTGTGGCCAGGTCGCCTCTTAAACAAAGCTATACAGTATAGCTCACTCGGCCTTACCTGATAAAAAAAATGTAGTTTGTTCCTCCACTACAATTCTATCATGTCTCATTCACTGACCATGTCTCCCCGCAATGTGTCCTTCCCAATCCCGTTTTACTTATGTCAGTATGATCCATATATTTTGCGTCAGTTCTTTTCAACGTCTTCATACTGGCAAAACGGTCCCATTGATGTAACTGCTCAACCCGAGCTATTAATACTTTGATACTTGTGTAGTGAGCGACTTCCGAGACACGTCGAGTAGAAGGCTTCTTGGTTTTTAAGAGCAGACGGGGCGATACATTATGTAACACAGCTAAACATAGGCGATCCTAACACGTAGCCCATCTCCGGCATACGCGACGCTAGCTGTCCAACTAGCGCAGCGATGGCGACTGAGAGGGTCTCACAGAAGAACAGCCACGTGGTCGGAGACGAAGAGATGACGAGGAGCAGCGACGGACCTAGGACCCACAACAGCACTCGAACCTCTGGTTCGGACCCCCCTTAATATGCGCCCCGGCGCGGCCAAGCCCCGCCTCTGGCCACGCCCCCTTCCAGAACTTTTGAGCAGGTTCCTGGAGCCTCTGGACTAACTCCACCTTTACCCCAGATACGCCCCCCTTATAATAATGCATTACATAATACCCCCGTAACCGCAATTACCCCTTCAGGCCGACAGGTGTCACCCTGTCATTACACTTGCACTGCCTTTGTACTGTTCGCCTTTTGGCGTTCTCTGGTCTAACACTGGTGAGACAAGGCCAAACAGAAGGCTGTCTTTGGTGTAGGCCAATCAGTTTCAACGACGATGCATTAAATATCAGAGCCTGTTTGCATATTTTGTCACAAGTATGTGTGGTTAATGTAGACTTTAATGCCTTGCAATAGGTGTCTCATTGGTGTTTGAACATCTTAACGCCTGTTTTATTGCCAGAAAGGGGAAAACCTTTTTTTATATAGTAGCGCAATTATTGACTAGACCGCAATTAAAATGATTCAATGCAATTTTTGAAAAGTAAAAGTACCTGTATAATAATTTACAGTCCTCTGTCAATCCACTTCTGGCAAAAGGCCTCGGTTACAATCTGACTAGACTTCTCCATGCTCGTCAGTACAGGTTGATGAAGTGAAGGCAGGCCAGGATAGGTTCGAATATTTATCGCTACTGTTTCCTGGATTCATAGTGCAGTGCGTTAACCACTGCTACACCTCAGCGTATGCTTCGTTTGTGTTTGTCACATGACCACAATAACTAACAGCACTGCACCGTGTATATTGGGTGGTATCCACACTGGTCAGGTAAAAATTTCCAAAGTGCAAGAATGTTAATTGCATGTCGATACTTGCCACTGCATACAAGAGTGTGGTTAGGGGCCGTCCATAAATGACGTCGCGCACCTGGGGGGGGGGGTCAGACATTTGTGACGATGTGTGACGTCACATCAAAATGCGCAACTTTAAATAAATATAGACAACAGGTTCTACCTAATTAAATATACTTTAATAAATATTTTCTCCTACAACATCAGAGTGCAGCGCCACATTAAATACGCACTACAATGGCAATAGTTTAAAGCGATTTGAAGCATGTTTTATATTTTTTGGGGGGGGGGGGGCAGAGCTTTGTGACGTCATGTTTGAGGGGGGGTCTGACTTTTTGTGACGCCGTGTGACGAGGGGGGGGGGGGTCAAAAATTGTCCAAAATCGCGTGACGTCATTTATGGACGGCCCGTTATACTAAGCAAGGTGTGGCAGTTGTGTATAGTTAGACTAGCCTTGTAAACGTCAACGATACTCTAGTATCCATGCCGTGAGAGGTAACATAAGAGCCTATCAAGGCTGCTCGTTTTAAGTCCTTTTATTCAGCGAGGTCTCCATCTATATATAAAAAAGGGAAATTTGTGAATATATGTGTCTGTTCAAAATGTTTAGCGTACTTCCCGACATGCAAGTGGGTACTGTCCAGACTGTACACCATGCAAAAATTATAAAAATACACTTGAATATATATTTTTTGGGGTGGGCACAATAATGCATATATTTCGCAAGGCAAGTGAGCTGTGACGTCACATCTGTCATGTCACCCGCGCATGCGGAGCGTTGCGCAGTGTGCCTGTTCATGTCACGCATCCCCCCCCACCCTCCGCGTAGGCCGTGTATTAATCCAAGACAAGAATCCAAGTCTCGGGCGAAGCCGGGTAGTAAAGCTTGTAAGACATAAGGGAAAGAAGTTCAACATACATAAAGGGCTCTGGCAAGTGGACAGCTGGCACTACAACATAACTCCAATAATCCGCGTTGATAAGATGGGACTATATCGCAGATCCTGGAACATGTGGCCCACTGTGGTGGTTACACCGAATACTCCGCGAAAATGTTTTCGCGCAGATGCGGTGTGCTGCAAATTATTGAAGGAAAATGCCGCGCAATTCCATTAATCCACAGAAATTACACGGGAAGCGCGGCACGTGACTAGCAGCTCCGTTAACCGGCTATACATGGCAGAACACGAGGTTACAAGTTTTTCCAAGATGCAAATGGAGAAAGTCTGCCAAATGGGTATGTGTTAAGCAATGTTTGCATTTTTTATATTTATCCACATTGGTGGTTCTTTAGCGTGTGGCCGGAGAGATCCACACATACCACGTGACTGTAAGCACGTGGCCTATCACTCGCCTTAATACGTACAGAACATAAGGCTACAGAGTAAAATACAACTGTTATATGTAAATTAATATATAATAAATTAATATATAATATATCATGAAAACATGTATAACATTTATATTCTTGGTTCTTTCGGTAAAGTCACGTAGAAGGGAAACAATAAAATAATAAAACTATAAAACAATAAAATTCTCACGACGTTTCGACTGCAACACAAGCAATTATCATCAGGTGTGAAAACCGAAAGAACCAAGAATATGAATCCCTGCAGTCACGAAAGCTTTAAATAAAAAATTGTATAACATTTATTAATATTTTTTTATTCATGCTTTATGTTCTTCAGACGTGTGGGGTGCGGTAGTGTAATTGGTTAGCGCACTACGAACCCGGTCACCCGAGTTCGATTCCCGCTCACGGCCAACATCAGTAACGATTATGTGAACCGGTCCTGAGCCTCCGCTAGGTAGATTAAGCCTCAAACGAGTACCTGGTGCGATGATGTATCGTTACTGGGAAGACAACGGTGGCTGGGCATGGTGCTGATCACCCACTCCCTCGTGTTCCGTATCTGCTCTGCCTCGTGTGGCGTACTGGCCTTCATAGGTACTTGCTAACAGCACTTTCCCCAAAAGGTTTTAAGGTTATACGGGGAATCTTTTATAGGCCACGTGCTTCTGGTTACATGGTACGTGTGGCTTTCTGGGGCCACGCACGCCACGTGCTTCTAGTCACGTGGTACGTGCGGCTTTCGAGGGCCGCACTCCACGTGCTTGGGGCCACGTGGTGAATGTGGCTCTCGAGGGTAGCAAGCCACGTGCTTCTAGTCACGTGGTACGTGCGGCTCTCGAGGGCAGCACTCCACGTGCTTGGGGTCACGTGGTGAGTGTAGCTCTCGAGCACAGCAAGCCACGTGCTTGTGGTCACGTGGTGAGTGTGGCTCTTGAGGACCACACGCTAAAGAGCCACGGTGATGTGCTGGGAGTCATTTCGTTCAATCCGCCGCAGTGTACCCGCTGATTACATAAATTCGTAATTCGCAATGGATCGCGGCGCAATACTCATCTCCTACAGCGCTACTCAATCCGGACGGAAGTTATTTTTCCCAAATTACATTCCTTAAATAATTATCAAATAGAGCAAGTCGAGACCTATAAGTATCTTGGGGTCATCCTGGATTCAAAACTGAATTTTGAAGATCACATTGATTATGTTGGTAAAAAGACAAAAATTGGTTTTCTGTATCGACACAAGCACTGCTTCCCCCCTATGTTCCGTTTGGAATTTATAAAAGCTACCATACTGCCTCTACTTGATTACTGTGATATCGTGTATAAATCAGCCCCAAGTACTGTACTGAAGAAGCTTGATTCCATCTATCACTCGGCCTTAAGATTTGCATTGAACTGCCCATATAGGACTCACCACTGTGATCTCTACATTGGGTCAAACTTAACATTTCTTAATGTTCGACGGCTTGTACACCAGATCTTATTTATTCACGATGTACTTACAAAAAATCCGCAGACTACCTGCTGGATCTCCTCTCTGTTTCAAAGAACAAATTTGACCTCAGGTCTTCGCTCATCTGCCAGCTTCACATTCCCTATTGCCGTACAAAAACCGGAGGAAGGGCCTTTGCTATTGATGCCCCCAGGGTCTGGAATGCTATTACCAATAAACTGCAACTTGAATCACTACCTATGAGATCTTCACTCAAAACTAATCTAGAGGAGTTGTACACTCCTAGCTGCCACTGCTATTCAGTGGCCTAAAATAAAATCAAATGTTTCGCTCCGGATGACCGCTGCAAAGTATTATCTGTATTTTGATTTAGTGTGCTGATCTTAAAGGTGCATTGAAAAATGTGATACTCCGACTGATGCTCCTGTTGTTTGTGGAGTGACTCATGCAGCCAGCTGTGGCTCTAGGGTTTGTGTGTTATATGTTATTTATGTAGTTTATTGTTAAAAATTCGGTCACAGTTCCTATGATCACTGTTACATTGCATTTATGGCTTTATTTTGGTGATTTCTAAAAGTTTTTTGGTTTGGCCATGTTTTTGTTTATTGTAGTACGGAGTTAGACTGATGGCCTTAATATAAGTTTTCTTGTTGTTGTTTGACTTGCATCCCACTGGGATTTTTGCACACAGCGTTGGTGTGCGGTGCTATTTCAGGAATATTTTAATGTTTTTTTTCGCTGGATTTTCTGTTTGCACAGTCACATAGCCACTTTAAGATGTTTTCTTGTTCATGTTTTTGTTTGTTGCGGTTGCACCCGATTGAAGAGCCGAATGGCTCACAGGGCTATACCAAATAAATTAAACTATGAAACTATATTGCATCGCAACATCGTGAGCGACGGAAACGGGAGTGGATAATGGTCGGTGCCTTTAAAACGTATGAACGTTAAAATGATGCCTTCCTCTCCTACGTAAAGCACAATAAGGTTTACTGAACATACGTGACCCATTCGCGATCTATACTTCGCGGAGATAAATGACGACATTGATAATTAAGTGAATTTTTGGGTTAGATCGCGTAAATATTCATGCATTGTTAACCCACCATCATCCAACACAGCCAATTAGTAAGGTTCGTCACGTAAACAAAACGTGACCTACTACTTAAACAGACCCGGTGTGTTAAAGAGTAATCTCACAACATTTAGACACTCAGAATGAGTCAGAATGTTTATTTATACAAGAAGAACCCGATGAGCTATAAAGCTGTTTTCCAAAGATGCCAAGTAGATTTAAATTTTGACTACGGACGCTTCGCTTGTGATTACTACCAAATGACGACATCGAGACGACAAAAAAAACCTGTCACCCGGTGAGATGACGTCATCACAAATCAACACGTCACCGCGCTGCCGCGACGTCACCGGCGCGAGCCCCCACAATCCCGTGCGCGAGCGAGCATGGAGGGCGGCGTGGAGGGAAGGCAGCGATGCCTCTCAGCGGTAGGGACACAAATGTCGCTCTCTCTCTCTCAACGCAACCTAAACACCGTAAACAATTGGAACACAGCACGCCTCGTAAACGTAGCCACTGAACCCTCGTGTTTAAAAAAAGTATATATATTTGTATAACAGCGTGAGCGGCGCGCACTTAAATGACCGCGTTTTGGGACACGTGGGTTGAAAGTGTCGCCATGGTAACTGGCGCGATTCTTAGGGTTCAGCGGGAAAGGCGTGAGACTCATCGAAACAGGTTAGAGTCCTGTGCGGCATCGCCGATAAAGAGACACGGGGAGAGAGAGAGAGAGAGTTGATGGAGAGGCAGACCCACGTGGAAGGAGCACGAGACATAGGGGACACACGCATACGAAGAGACAAACACACGAACACAAAGCGTTACGCAGACGCAGAGGCATGCACTACAAAGACACGGATACAAACAAGATGCGGACGCAGATGTACAGATACAAACGGGGGTTACACGCAGCGACATAAACACGGATCTACGATAATACACATGGTTTTGCCGAGTAGTTTAGGTCGTCTGCCAGGGTGGATTAACTCAGATTTACATCACGTGTGTGGGCTCTGCCTAAGGCAGCTGTTTACATTCATTAAACAAAAAAGTCTCCGTCTGAACAGTATTTTTTTTGTCAGCAGGATTCCCGTATGGAGATATTTGGACCATTCACTTAACGCGTGTTTGTAAATGCTGTGGGTACCACACAGGCAAAACACTCAAAGCAGTGCTCTACTGCCATCTCCTGACTACCCCGTAGCCAAGTCTACAGCATCTCCCGATTCCCAAGCAGCCTCCCATTCAAGCAGTACCCAGGCTCAATACCACTCGGCTTGTGCTATCCACACTAGGTCCAGACACGTGATGGGTATAGTTTGGCCGTTAATGCAGCGTTGCTGGCTTTTACATCGTAATTGCCCTCCCTCGGTGCGCGTTTGCTGCTCACTGTGCGTGGCTGTCGTCAGTCACACGGAGGTGACACGCGCTCTGCAACTCGCCCCCGTGTGCAGATACAGTCGGATGTGGACGACGACACGTGCGTCACGTTCGTGTTGAATGGCGAGGACCACACTCTGGGCAACCCGCTGCGCTACATGGTCATGAAGAAGTGAGCACCGCCGCCGCCACCAGAGGGCGAGCAGTGAACGCGCAAGGCAACGCTGCAGTGCCACTCTTTTTGTGTGTGTGTGTGTGTTTCGTTACAGCTCAGCCCGTTTGGTGTGCTGACGTAGTGGTTCTGTGAACCTGGCACTGTTCTGTGAACCTGGAGACAAAATCATCCACATTTGCATGTTGTAAATATAGCACGTGGAAGAGAGCAGGCTTCATTTGGTGTGTGTTTATACGCTGTAAGATAACAACTTGTGGGGAGAGACCACGGCTGCGTGGTTAGGGCTCTGCACGCTGAACGTTGCGAACCTTTTAACATCGGTGGTGAGTTTTCGCTCAAGCAGTTCTGGATCCCCCTCCATCCACTGATCAGTGAGACAGCGTGTGGTTAAACATCCCCGTTACTGACGCGGGGGGAGGCCTTCGTTCAGCAGCGGAGTGACAAGAGGGCTGAAAACAATGAAACGACGTGAATGTCGTTTAATTTGTCAACATACGTTGTGAGGATAGATGACTTTTTGATTGAATATGCTCAAACTTCCGCTACGCTTTTTGCCTGGAGCATTGCCAGTACTTGTGGTTGTGCCTTGCTTCCTTCTGTCTGTTATTCCTAAACCTAACCCATCTTCATCGTTTGTGATTTATTAATGTGAAGTCATACAGTTGTGGACATTGATGCATCTGCGTAGATAGAACTGGTACATATTGTTATAATGAAAAAGAGATGTTTAAAAAATATATATATAAATTGGTAACACATGGATGTCCGGATAAATAAGCAACATATTTTATGAGACTTTCAGGCCATAGTTGCAGTCGTGAAAGCCAGCATTGAAGTACAGTAAACAAATCTAATTTGTTTCCAGCCCTGACGTGGACTTCTGCGGTTATAGCGTGACACATCCGTCGGAGGATAAAATCAACTTTCGAATTCAGACACGAGGTAAGTCCTTTATTGTATTTGCAATTGTGTCCTATGAAGATTAACGTTTTGGAAGCGAGCCTATTTTGGATGCTCCCAGTTCAAGCGCTGAGCACTGTCCTTCACATTTTATGTCACCGTTTGCTTTTATGTGTGTTTTTTGCCAACAAAGAGAGGTTTTGTTACATTTATTTCGTGTTATATAACTTTCACCCCTTACTGATAAAAGCGCGCCTACAGTAGGTCTGAGTTGAATCATCCCTCGGCCACGCGATGAATTGCCATGGTTCGCGATTGTAATTCGATTAAAGAAAAACAATTCTCAAGCGAATTTATCAGTCTTTAGTTGTAGCAGATGTCATGTAAACCCAATAATTGAAGGAGTACAAATCTGAAAAAAATATTTCCTATACATGCGAATAGTGAGTAAGAATCAATTTCAATCACCTATGCCATGCATCGTTATCCCCCTCGTTTACGGTAACATTGACATCGCGGGTGGATGCTTAATATGTTGTCTGTTAAATATAAATTGCACAGCTAAATAATTTGAGCGTGTTATTTCACGTCCGCAGACTGCACAGTAATAATGGTCAAGGCAGACACGAAAGCGCGCACCACACAGACACACAGTTGTGGTTGAATTACAGTGCTGCGCTGAAATGTGAGCGTGCTCTTATGCGCCTGGCAGGGATCCCAGCTGTCGATACGTTCCGAAGGGGCTTGTGTGAACTGACGACAGTTTGTGAGCACATACTTGCCGCGTTTGAGGTAAGGCCTGCCTTTGTAAGTGTACTTTATGGAAGTTTAAATGCTTGGGAGTTTGTGATGCGTGTTGTGAAAGTCCATTTGCGGTTTTGCAGGATATTATTTCCTTAATGTGCAATAGATTTGTGACCATAATTACATGATGTTACTCGATAAGGGATGGTTAAAAAACAATTTCGATACTGAACTCTTAATTAAAATGTTCATATCAATTTACATTGAATAAATAGTGGGAAGTGGTGGAACAGTGGCTTGGTGCTTAGAGTACTGCGATTCAAACTCCGTAACCCTAGTTCGATTCTTGGCTACAGCTAACATCGTTGAGTGATATCAGAGTCAGCCCTGAGCACCCACACTAACCAGGGTGGTGAGGTATGGTCAAACAACCGCATAACTGACATTGACACGGGAAAACCCGAATCCAGTAAGTAAATTAACAAAGGGGTTGTACTAGTAATTTGGTAAAAGGGAAATGATGCAAACATACACATCCTCATGTTTACAATTCTGCGTGGTGCAATAATAAACCCTCGTCATAGTGTTGTGTTTTACAAGCTGTATGGAAATGCTCGGGGTTTTTCTGTGCCCCACAGGCGAGTGTGAACACCTACAACACAAGTCACGGCATTGCGGGCCCCATGGATCAGTCGTGATAACAACGCGCATTAAGCTGTTATTGTGTCACGTGTAGTGTTGCCCTGTGTGTTCACATCTACTTTTTCGTACGTTGTTGAATTTGTTTCAAAATAGAATTTTTTTTGCAAGAACTTTTAAAATGTTCTCCTAAAATAAAGTACGAGCAAAGATATTTGTTATTTTAGCAGATGCTATGCGAAGTTCAAAGCTAACCATCGCCAACAGTTTTATTCCAAACATTTACAAAATAAAATCTTCTCCGTTTGAGGCTGGTTGACCCCCTCTATACCAGTAACATCTCACTCACAATCTGTTAAGCACAAATATCTCTATTATAAACATGTCAAAATTAAAATGACCAGTGTTTTCACTGCACATCAGATATGGCAAATGCAGTTAAATTAGCACGTCAATTTTTTCATGCAGTTCCAGGATAGCAATAAAACATCTTTGTCCGGTGTCCTTTTCCCAGTCACCTAACACTGAATGAAGCTCTGTAAAACCTTCCTTTGGCACTTTAGCGTTGCGTGACTGTGGGGTCTTAAATCATGGGGAAACGAGTGATGTTTGTAAGCACGTAATTTACCTTCAAGGCCTATTTAGCCAAGCCAGGACACAAACTGAATGTGCTCTTAGTCTTTTTTTCATGTCCTAGGGGTAATTAAAGCTACATAACGCAGCTACTTAGGAGTGTTCTGTTTGCAGCATTGGCTGCAACTTCGCAAGAGAATTTCAAATAAATGTTGATAATCTGGGTGAGTTTTGAGGCTTTAATACTGACCTGCAAAAGCTTTTGTGAAAAAAAAATGTTGATGCATTATCCATGGGCGTTCAGCATTTCACTGACCGCAGTTGCAAAGAATGAGGGTTCTGGTGCAGGACTTTTTTTTAATTCGAACCATTTTTCTTGGATGACTCTGGTATGTAGTGTGGCTGCTGTGCAGCTCATTGTGAGACAAACAACTCCGCATGTGATGGTTAATGACACCAAAGACCACTCTGTTGCGCTGCCAAGTCTGCATGGGTGGCGACCGCGAGCGTCTGTGTGAGGTCCAAGCAGCCACTACATGGCAGCAGGGCCCCATCTTATAGCCCGGGGAAAGAACCTGTAACTTAGATGCAGTGTAAACAGCAATAAATAAATAGCTTAAATCAGCCAAAACTTATTTGTTAAATTGTGTCTTGTTGCCAAGTTGATTTTTTTTGCGATGTAGGCCTCCACTAGTAATGGTCCCATGTGATCTAGTTCAACTTATAAGACCATTTTACTCCTCACCCGCACAACCTAATCCCCTCGTTACCAACCAATCGCCAGCAACCTTGTAGGTCAGAGCAGCCTCTTACCGTGCGATTGTCTTTTGGTTTTTTAGCAGATGACATGGAAATTGGATTTCAGATGAGTTTAAGCAGAGTTGGAAAACACGTGATTTGCATTTGATTGAAAAGGACACATGAAGGTGACCAGTGTTGAGAGATGCCTCGATGTTGCTCTGTCTGGAGCTCAGCGGGGGCTGCAGTGGGTAAATGCTCAATCTGGCCACCCTCCAGCAACGATGGGCTTTGGGTCCTGAGCAGATGGCAGCGTTCTAGCTAACGTGGACGAAAAGCATTGCCACATGGGGGAGCTGCGTTTCATTTGTAAGGAAAACATGAGTGAACGTAATGAAGGCCTTACTTTTATTGGCTGATCAGCTTGCTCCTTGTCAAGTCAAGCAAGCTTGCTCGGTACACCACCATGGAATAATATTGATAAGTTCCACGAGGCCGGCTTGCAATTAATGAAGCATTGCGTCACAGTTTGCCTCCGGCTAACGCCTTTGAGGGTTTTTGTCTTGTGTGGACGTTCTGTCAATGCTGACGCGGGTGCTGTAGTTGGACGCTGATGGGTTGTGACAGTCGGAGGGGGGGGATCCCATGTCTTTCTCTGCTACTTTACGGCCAACTTTGGGCCTGAATAAATATTTCCTCAAATTGTACAGATAACAGCACCCACGTGCGCGTGTGTTCATTAAGTGATAAAACGTGTGTGCATAATTTGTTTCAACGTGCTGCAAACAATTTAAGGTAGCTAATGAAGCCCAATTAAATTAAGACAATTTAGCTCTGCTGCAGTTTGTAAAAACGTTGCGTTGTGGCAATAGGATTCGTCTTTCTGGTAGGTATCGTGTAGTCATCTGCCTCTAATTATCTGCATTTAAGCTCAGCAAGTTAATAGCAGAGCTGCAGATGAGCTCGCATAAGGCAGCGGAGAAGTCTGTAGTGTACGTCTGTTGAACTTCTTTTGCACCTTACATAGCCAACCATGCTAATCGGAGGTGCGGGAAATAGCCAGCCGGTTTCTTCAAATGCTTTACAATCTTACAGGTATCAAAGAGTCGAGGGCTTAAACAATAATAGCCTCTTGGTGTAAGAGGGTGTTTTATCTTCAGCGCCCTACTGCGCTGGCAGATTCCTCTTGGTACGTTTTGATGTTTCGAGTTGGTTTTCATGGAGTTCATAAAAAAAAAACGACCGTCACGTTCCCGTGCGGCCGGTGAATGAGCCCTTGTGTTTGGCCGTCACGGTGCGTTGTTGCTCAAACGAACTTAACTGGAAGCATGCCGCGTACAGCGCGCAAACCGATAAATACAATTTTTTTTTTACCAATCTGCAAACGTAACGGTGACTGCACGAGCCGGGATTGCGGGTAACCCTTGTAAGGATTGCTGCAGAACTGAAGGAGGTGGGGGGGAAGAAGAAGGGAAAACACCCCAACCAGTGGTTGGTTGGTTGAGTGGGTGGGTGTGTGAGTGCGTGCGTGCAGGAAAGGGGCAAGGGACCCCCGCAATGAATGGCTACCCTTTGTTTGAACTACACGCGCTTGCGTGTCCCCCCCCCCCTCCCCATGCATTTTAAGTTGAATAATATAAAGCGCTGCTGTTTGTGTCGGCCTCCTGCTCGCAGCCCTCCCCCTGTGCCCCTGCCGGCTCCATCTCCGGAGTCGCGGTGTGATGTGCGCGCTTTCCCCCAGCGATGATGGCAGGTGCGGTCGCACATGGGGCCCACATGGACACTGGCTCTGCCGAGCGACTCGAGCAGTCCGTGAAAGCCCTTGGAAGCCGTCGTTTGTTCACAATCAAACGCCCGGTCGAATTTTCTTTGGCGTAGCGCGCGGTGTGCTTCCGTGGGGGAGTGGGGGGGGGGGGAGGTGTTTTTTTTGGCACTTATTGTTTGGGTTGATTCTTGTTTGTTTATTTGTGTCGTGTCGTGTAATGGAATGCTAAACTACGTGATTATTTTTTGTTAGTCAGTTTTTACTTGTCATCATCTCTACTGGATCTTGTAATGACCAATGATTTCAACCTGGTGTAATTTACATGAGGACACATTTAGTTTTGCTCCGGAAAACTGTCCGAATGCACCTTTTTAAAGTATGGTACTGTACTTCCTAATTTTGGTTTTATAAACCATTTTATACATTTCCGATTTAAGAGCGGTGCTGTTGAATAGTTTTAGATTTTTTTTAAAGTCGAATAACTTCTTCAATAAGAACATACTTTTTCATGCACTGCAAACGTATGGACCATTAATGCACGCAGCGACAAGTGGTTTCTTTTTTGCGTCGTTTTACACTTTAACGTTTTGCCTTTCGTCCCTGAGCATTTCATGTTCAGTGCTTATCGTACATTTAAGAGCACCGATTAAGCATACAAAAAAAACTCCGTAGGCTTTGAAGCGTGCGCTCGCTGTGAGGTGCTGCTCTCAGACAGGCCTCTCGCTGTCTCAACGGCCAAGTGTCTAGAGATGTTTGTCTTATGCCCTTCCTGTCTGCCTGGGCGAAACACAATCCTCCTCGACGCCTTCAGATTGTGGTCGCCCATAGCGTGCATCTCGCAGTTGCTTTGGGTGGGTAAAAACAACGACGACAACAGCAACAACAAAAAACCCCAACAATCATTAAAGGTGTGCGTGTGGTCTTGTTTTGGCTTTGCTTTCTGTTTACATTTCACGGTGGTTTGACATGAAGGGGAGACGAGTGCAAGTACAACACCGTGTGCTTTGCTCGTCGGCGAAGACGAGCCGATATTATTGCTCGCGAGGCCGCATTTCAACCCCAAAATCTGTTTCGGATCTGCCCAAGTTGGTCACGCGTGTTTATGCCCCTTGGACGCACGTGAACTTGCAGTTTTTCGGTGCTGATTGCACCGCCTTTCCCCGCCCAACCCCACCGCACCCACGAAACGTGCCGAATCAAGCCTGGATCACCACCGCTCCACGTGTCCAATTTCATCCTGGCTGAGTAACTCACCAGAGGAACCCGATCATTTTCGTGGCACCGCATGCCCCCGCCGTCGCCGCCGCCGCTCCGCCCACAAGTAACGCTCATTTCCTGCTCTTTCCCTTGCAGCACTTGGCTTGATTAATATCAGGCGATTATGTTTTTCTTTGCAAAGCTGGCTTCAACTCGCGGAAATACTTTTCTTTGCACGACTGTGATAATAATCACTTCACTTTTATTCCGTCGGCTGTTTATCAAGAGTTGTTGAAAGGTCATGAATATTTACGTTTTTTTATTAAAATATGGGGGGGGGGGAATTTAATAATAATTGGTCGTAATTTTGTTTCTTGCAAATTACGTTTATCCCTTCTGTTGTCATTATTTGTATTGTTTTTCTTACGAGGAACACACTCAAGAAATCGGTAGGGATCGTAATTTGTGTCCTGTTAGGATTCCGTACACGGATAATATTTAACGACTGAAACCCGCGCACATCTGTGCTCATGCTTGGGACACGTAACGCTTGTATTTGTGAAAACATTTTTTTTACTCATAAACCCAAGGCTACCATGAAACGTTACGAATGGCAACATTTTCTTACGAGATTTTATGCAGTTTTTTTGTTGTTTAAATGTTTATATAATAAAAGGAGACTTTTGTTATGTTTCTTCAATGCAAATATGCTTGCACATATAAGCAATCCGCTGTTCTCACGTGCATCTGCCTTCCTGAGCGCTTGTGGCCGGTGAAAATAGCAAATACTGATGCTAACGTTTTCGTCTCAAGGAGAAGGAACACACAGCATCAATCCCAGTGAATGCGGGAGAGCAACCCAGCCTTAGTCACACGTGTTTCTAATTTTCCCATATTGCACTCTTTTTGTGATCTATAGGTCTCTAGGCTTACATTTGGATGGGATTTAGGGAGCGTGCGGCCAATGGCAACATCATGGGCTATGAGTGCATGCCAAGCTTACCTTACCTCTTGAGTGTCTTCGTGCGTCTGGAAATCTGTATTCGTTTGCACGCTGTACGGGGTTGATTCTTGGCTGCACACACCACCAGTGGAAATAATGTCTGAACCTGGCCAAGCAATCTCTCCTGTGTGCCATGCTGACTTTAATAGGCGTCTGCCTACTTAGAACACTTGCCTTAATGGGACTGTGCAATTCAATTGGGAATCATCTTCTTGGTTCTTTCGGTAAAGTCACGTAGAATGGGAATGTTTTTACGAATTGTGAGTGGGTATGAGTATTGCCGGCCAAGCGTCTCAGCGTTGGAGTGAGTGGCTTGCAATTGGAACGTTGCGAAATCAAATCCTGGTTTTCGGATTGACTTTTGGGCTCGATAAAACGAGTACCATTTTGTGCGAAAGTCAGTAGTGGTTGTCTTTTGGATCGATTTGCCCCAACCATTGGAATGTGGAATCCCTGCCACCAGCTCAGGGCTGAAAACAAGAGATTAGCACTGCCTCAATGCTCATTTGATTAATATATAACGTTGGCTCTTTGACTATTAGTTCAAAGAATATCCGTGTACAGCAGTGGTGATGCAGTGGCTTTAACACATTGCGTTATGTACCCAGAAACGTGAGTTTGAATACTGGCAACGGCTAACATCAGTGGCGAGTGATATCCCAGGTAGTTCTAGGCACCCTCTAAACCAGTGGTGTTTAACCCTTAAAGCAGCTTGCACCACATTTTGATTTAAAGCTTTCGTGACTGCAGGGATTCATATTCTTGGTTCTTTCGGTAAAGTCACGTAGAAGGAAAACAATTATATTTTATTGTTTCCCTTCTACGTGACTTTATATTATATTATTGTTTCCCTTCTACGTGACTTTACCGAAAGAACCAAGAATACAGCTTGCACCACTTTGGTTCTCAATCCTAAACGAAACATTGTAATGTTAAGAAATATATAGGTTTGATTAAACAAAGTAGTTGTACTTACGTGCCCGTGCTTAAATTGTGTTTTGGATTATTTACCTTTAAACAAGAAAATCTGGCCATGTCTCGCACTCCAAGAAAAGGCATCACGCACCCCCAGGGGTGCACGCACCCCAGGTTAAGAAGAACCACTGCTCTAAAACAACCCGCATTGACCAGGGCGGTGAAGTGTGGTCAAACAACCCCCCATGATGGACAGAAGAGTAGAGAAGCCTACATCCAGCAGTGGATTGACAAAGATCGAAAATGTTTATATTTTTTATGGGTCTTTTAGCAATGACTAATTAGACCACTACAATGTTATAAGCAGTGCGCCATCAACTGACTTTGGAAACCGTTCAAACATTATGTTTTGGTCTGCCATGTGTTATGAGCCTCAAGTAGAGTTGCATACATCATAATGACCCATTGTGCCCTCTCAATTGCAAGTAAAAGTGGCGAGGACATTTATGAGTGACCCAAGTAAAATGTGTTCACAATGTAAGCTTGGGGTGTTTTCTTTCATTACGGCAAACAGGCTGTGTTTTAGTCATGTTTATACGTGCACACAGGATTTTTTTTTACGACCGCGTACACGCACGGCACGCGCACATGTTCGCGGGTACACAAAGTGGCCTTGTTAGGACGAGAGCAATTAACCTCCTTCCTTGCCGGTTTTTAATTGGCTGACTGGTCACATCGTGATGGTTACCGCATGCTCTCGGCTATCATCCATCAATGCCTCCACGAGCACTCAGTCTCACCGAGCACTCTGTCCCACCCACCGAGCACTCGGTC